TGTGAGTTGGATTTTTGCTAACAAGTAGTCATGTCTGCATCAACTGGGTGTAGACTAAAAGCACTCTGGAAAGAGAGCATAAAACCATAGACTAAAGGTTGGCAAGATCTGGTTTCAAAAATGCTGTAGTTCTAGGAAGTGGAACCAAGTCAGAACTTGGAAAACTCAGTCAATTTGGAGTAGAGACAGGATGGGATCTGGAAACTGTAGGGTGGAGCCTAGGTAGAAGAACCTCACATGTCATTGTGCTTGACTGGACAGAATCATGAATCCATTATGTCTTTCATAATTCAGTGTCACATACTAAATAGAACACATTTTTCCTAATCCAAAACCGGGTACAGGCTGTCCTCAAGTTACAAACAAGATAGGTTCTGTGGGTTTGTTCTGAAGCTGAATTTGTTTGTAAGTTGGTACAGCCCCCCAAAAATATGTTTTAGCTTTGGATAGCATAGGGAAGGGTTAACACTGCTGGATCTGTCCCTGTTCAGGAGATTTCACCTCACTTTCCATCCCTGTGAAATTGGATTTTGAAAAATTTGGCTTGTTGTGGAAACAAGGATTGGTGATAAACCTTCAGTTGAGGTGCCTTTTTCCCATGATAACTCTTTAAGGAGTGGATTTCCCACCCGGGTATATCTTTATTCTTTTCTTTCATTTATCTTCTTGCTTATCTTACTTCTGTTTTGTTGTTCATTCGTTCAGTCGCTTCTGACTCTTCGTGACCTCATGGACCAGCCCACGCCAGAGCTCCCTATCGGCCGTCACCACCCCCAGCTCCTTCAAGGTTAAGCCAGTCACTTCAAGGATGCCACCCATCTATCTTGCCCTTGGTCGGCCCCTCTTTCTTTTTCCTTCCATTTTCCCCAGCATAACTGTCTTCTCTAAGCTTTCTTGCCTTCTCATGATGTGGCCAAAATACTTCATCTTGGCCTCTAATATCCTTCCCTCCAATGAGCAGTCGGGCTTTATTTCCTAAAGTATGGATTGGTTGGATCTTCTCGCAGTCCAAGGCACTCTCAGAACTTTCCTCCAACACCACAGTTCAAAAGCATCTATCTTCCCTCATTCAGCCTTGCCTTTGGTCCAGCTGTTACATCTGTAGGTGACTACAGGGAATACCATTGCTTTGACTATGCAGATATTGGTTGCCAATGTGATGTTTCTACTCTTCACTATTTTATCGGGATTGGCCATTGCTCTCCTCCCAAGAAGTAAGTGTCTTCTGATTTCCTGGTTGAGGTCTACATCTGCAGTAATCTTTGCACCTAGAAATGCAAAGTCTGTCCCGGCCTCCACGTTCCCCCCCTCTATTTGCCAGTTATCAATCAGTCTGGTTGCTATAATCTTAATTGTAATATTTCTGTTCTACATCTCCTTTTTGGCATTAGTTTGTAGTCCCTTGAATGTTCTTCTATATTTTTTCCACGTTTTTCTTCCTCTCCTAACAGTTGATATATCAGCTGTATTGTTTTAATATTGTTGTTGGGCTAACCTATGTGCTGTAAATTCCTTTCCCCTGCGTATGTGCATACATATATCTATGTACAATTAATTACACATTTTGTATGCTATTTTAAGTGTATTGAACTGAGAAAGATCCAAATTGGCACTTTAAATTGTGCAAAGAGACAGCCTGATCAATTTATTTAAATAGAGCTGTTTTATGAATGTCAAAAGGTGTTTTGTTAAGTTACGGAGTTTAGCAGAAGTGTGTCTTCTGACTATTTGGAATTATATGCCTATGAGTCACTGATAGCGAAAGCTTGGAGATATAGGAACATAAAAAGAACCAAAGATTCAGGGTAATTTATCTGAGTCTTAGAAACATTACAGTCAACCATCTAAATTTTCAGGTTTGTTGATTTTATTTTCAGGTTTTGTTGATTTTATTATTCATGAATTTGAACCATATGTTCCCTCTATGAATCTTTATGTCCTCCAGCACAACTCTGTAGTCAACTGCTGCCTTGCCACTCTCCCCAGAACAGATGCAATAACTGAGTTTCTGCTCCTTTCCTTCATGTCTTGGCACACTCTTAGCTGGTGGAATTGTTTTACATCTGCACATTTAACTGTTTATTTTAAGACAACCGCAATGCTTAATAACTCGTATTGTGGGTTTGTGTGTTTTATTATATGCGAATAATAAAAATTAGTCTGAATTTTGCACATGTAGCAGATTTTTTGTTGCCCTTGCAGTTAATCAAATTATTTGGTTGGGCAGAAAATCTCATTCCTCCCTTCCCCCACACTTTGGATCAAAATGTAATCGCTGGATTTCAGTCAACTGCTTGTTACTTGTGTGTTGTTGTTTATTCTTTTCCCATGAACAGCCAAGGCTCGTAGAACAACTTGCCCTTTCTTGTTGGAGAAACTGGCAGCTCAACAGGCATCATTTTGTATTTTGCATTTCATGTTTCGCCTCATTACTATCAGTATGTGTGACATGTCATGGAAATTAGTAGAATAAAAACAGCAAGCATGTGTTTCTAGATAGAATGCTTCCCTTAACTTTTCATTGGGCATGTCAATTGCAAAGTGAATCCTTATGAGTCCTTTGCCTTTTATTATTGCGACTGTGGCATGAATTCTTTCCAAATCCACTGTCTTCAAAGTACTTTATAGTTCTTGAAGTATGTGTTTTTCTAGTAGAAGATAGCATCATTTCCCCTACTTTCTTGAAGGAATTAATTTGCTTTTAAGTTAAAATGGGATAGCTTTCTTTGTTGAAATAATAATAAAATCTGGGGATACCTTGTTAGTGACTCCACTTCATCACACTAGAGAGAAAAATCCATTTAAAATCCAGTTTCTGCCTCCTGAAGAATTCTGGGGTTTGCAGTTTAGTGAGGCTGTTAAAGGCTCCCCCCTAAACTACAAATCCCAGAATTCTGCAGGATGCAGAAACCAGTTTTTAAGTGGATTTTTTTCTCTAGTGTGATGAAGTGGAGATATTCTGTGTTCTTTTTGTTGCTTTTGATTGAAGTCTGTTTCCTTTCGAAGAAATCACAACCATCTTTTTGCACAGAAGGCTAAACTGCAAAAATAAGTAGTAGTTGATTCCAAAACTGGGGAAGAAATAAATTAGCAAGGTTGATGTGAGTTTTTTGGATGATATGTCCATGTTCCTGTAGCATTCTCGCCTAATGTTTTGCCTGCATTTGTGGCAAGCATCCTCAGAGGTTTGTTCAGAGCTCTGTTGGAAATGAGGCAAATGGAGTGTATATATATCTGTGAAATGTCCAGGGTGGGAGAAAGAACCCATGTCTGTTTGAAGCAAGTGTAAATATTGCAATTAGCGAGCTTGATTAGCATTGAGTAGTCTTGCTACTGCAAACTAAAACAACCAGAGAAGTCAGCTAGAGCAGAGCACTTGATGAACCAACCTGGACACAGAATATTATTTGAGAACACAGAAATGCTGCACCACTCTGATGACCACTATGTCAAACTACACAGAGAAGTCATTGAATTCCATAAGCATGTGGACAATTTCAACAAAAAAGGAACAAACCATGAACATGAACAAAATCTGGTTGCCAGTATTAAAAAACACCAGAAGCAAGACAGTAAATAAGTAACACCACTCAGAAACAGACAGCAAACAGTCAAGTGCCAGTTAACACCTCCAAAACAAAGGAGGCCTCCAGGCACAACAGCCAGGCTAAACTCTATGCATATACCCTCATAGATTGGCATTACAGCTGCAAGGTTACTCAATGCTAATCAAGTTTGCTAATTGCAACATTCATACTTGCTTCAAACAGACAAGGATTCTTTCTCCCACTATGGACATTCCACAGATATACAAGGGTGGGTCAAAAAGTTTTGCCTCCTGTGTCATAAAAACGTAATAAATGAACATATAACAGCAGAAGTTGCTACAGATCATAGCCTGAATTATCCTCTATGCAAAACTACAGTTCAACATAGTCACCATCAATTTGTACACATTTGCACCATCATTTAACCCAGGCATTAAACCCATTTTGGAAAAATTCAGGGTTCTTTGAGGATGCTTGCCATAGATGCAGGTGAAACGTCAGGAGAGAATGCTTCTAGAACATGGCCATATAGCCTAAAAAACCTACAACAATCCAATTCAGGGTTTTGCTTCATGAGCCATGATTTTAAAGCTGTTTTAAAGCCCTGATTTGGCCCCTTCTGACTTATACCTGTTTGGACCTCTGAAAGACAACCTATGTGCTTTCAGATTCAATGACTTGAATGACTTTAAAACAGCTTTAAAATCATGGATCATGAAGGAAAACTCTGAATTTTTCCAAAATGGGTTTGATGCCTGGGTTAAACGATGGCACAAATGTGTAGAAGCAGATGGTGACCATGTTAAACAGTAGTTTTGAGTAGAGGATAGTTCAGGTTATGATCTGTACCAACTTCTGTTGTTATATGTTCATTTATAATGTTTTTATGACACAGGAGGCAAAACTGTTTGACCTTCCCTCAGATATACACTCTACTTGCCTCATTGCCAACAGATCTCTGCACAAACCTTTGAGGATGCTTGTCACAGATGCAACCCGAAAAACTCACAGCAACCCAGTGATTCCGGCCATGAAAGCCTCCGACAACACAATAAATTAGAAGCTTTGTGTTCTGAGAGCTTTTGTGTATTGAGTAGTTAGTTACAGTGCATCCTTGTTGAAATTTCTGCTGACAATGATTACAGAGAAAATGAGTGCTTAAAATATCATACCCCATCAAAAAAGAAAATGCAATTATTTAATGGTTGGCTGAGAATTATGTTTGGCTGTATCCGCACTCTAGAGCAGTCCTGCATAACCTGCAGCTCTCCTGGTGTTTTAGACATCCACTCCCAGACTTCCTGACCATAGGACAAGCTGGCCAGGGATTCCGAGAGCTGGAGTCCCAAACAACTGGAGGGCTACAGGTTGTGCAGGCCTGCAATAGAGGAACAGGCAATACTAAAAAAAATGGTCCTCCACCCCACCCTGCAACCCTTTATATGTCCACAGATCTGCTTCACACAGTTGGGAGACCTCAGGAACAGATTTGGAGGGTGTACAGGAAGCTGTATTGAGGTCAAAGAGAAAGAGCAGGTCTGACATGATGTTGGAGGGAATTCTGAAATTGCCATTGTTCACTTATTTCTTTTGTGTTCACATTTTCTCTTAACTTCATTTGCTGCACCTTGCTGTTTCAGCTGTAATTATATTTTAAATTATCTGAAATGAGCCTACTTTTCTGTTAATGATTAATTATGTGCCACATTTTCATTCAGCTATTCACTCCCATTGCTGCTGTGGACATCATGCACCTTGAAATTTCTCATCTTTATTTGCTTGCTGTCGTTCTGTTGTTTATATCAGTGCTGAGTCTACTCAATCGTAATGGAAAGGGGATGATTTAAATCTCTGTTCACACACCCATTTACCTGGCATAAAGCCCTATTGAACTCTCAGTGGGATACTGCTGAACAGATGTGTATAAGATATATTAATAGTATTACTAATATAATAATATGACCAAGAGGTTACTATTTAAGGACCTAGTAAAATCAGAGATAGTCAGTCTACTATTTAGCCTAATTGAAGAGATTGTCCAGTCTTTCAAGGGAGCTAATACAAAGACAAGTTAAGAGAAAAAGTTAATTCTTTCTACACTGCCAGATAAAATCCAGATTATCTGCTTTAAACTGGATTATATGGCAGTGTAGACTCGTATAATCCAGTTCAAAGCAGATAATGTGGATTATCTGTATTTGTATTTTAATGTATTTATATTAATGTATTATGATGCTATTATGTTTACTATATTTGTGTTGAATTTTCTGCTGTTAGCCGGCCTGAGTCCCTCTTCAGAGGTCGAGAAGACCGGGTTATAAAAGCTCTAAATAAATAAATAAACAAACAGATAATCTTATTTTCTGTTTATTTTCTGTGGCAACAGCAGGATCCTCTTAAATTGTTAATTGTCAATATTTTGCAATCCGTGAATTACATTTGAAGTTACAGTATTTCATAGAAAAACATGAATGAAGGAGAGAGCCTGAAGACAATTTGGTTTAGCCCATTCCTCGAAAATCCTTCCACAAATTGGCCTAAATTTAGCTTTTACTCTCACTACGGTCGGGAATGCATTGTATATGCAGGCCTTGTAGGAGGAAGGTCCTAATTCATATGGATGCAATCAATATATTTTGTACAGATTTGTCCCAGCTTAAATCATAAATTTAGGGAATAGTGCAGAAAAAGTGTTAATATGATCCCAGAAAGCAAAGGCCCCTTCTACGCGGCCATATTATCCAGATTATCAAAACAAACAATCCAAGTTATCTGCTTTGAATTGGATTATATGAGTCTATACTGCCATATAATTCTGTTCAAAGCAGACAATCGGGATTTTATATGGCAGTGTAAAAGGGGCCTAAGAGATAATCCACTAGCTCTCAGTTAAGGATGCAGATCTTTGTTTATTTTCTTCCTCATTGAAGAAGAAAATGCTTTGACATCTCTAGGCACTGGGAATTTTTAAAAAGAAATATTTTGTGCAAAAAATAAATTATTCGTAAAATTTTCATACACACTAAACAGATTAGCAAATTTTAAAATCTAATGGGAGCTAGAACAGTTAAACAGCTGTCAGTCAGGGGATCAGATATGGAACATTAAAACACACTTTTTCCCTGAGAAGAACATTGATAAATATGTGTTCTTGATTTTAACAGGCTTCCTAATACCCTTCATAATTTTTTTTCCAACTCACTGAAATAAATGAAGATTTTTGAATTCATTTCTTTCCCTCAAACCTGACTAAATAATCCTTTTTGTTTTACAGGCCGGACCTGATAGACATGAATACCGTTGCTGTTCAAAGCAACCTTGCAAATTTAGAGCATGCTTTTTTTGTAGCAGAAAAACTTGGTGTTGCCAGACTTCTGGATCCTGAAGGTGAGTTCATGAATGGAATGGTCAGTGACTTGGAACTGTAATTGCAAATTGAATTGCGTTGGAATGTAATGCAAATTGAATTGTGTTGGGCTGGGCTTTAGTACAGCAAATTAACTGCCAGTTGCAGTAAATCTTGCCAACTGAAAGGTTGACAGTTTGAAGCCCGTGTCAGGGTGAACTCCTGGCCTTTAGCCCAGCTTCTGTCTACCTAGCAGTTTTGAAAACAGCAATGTGAGTAGATAAATAGGTACCACTTAAGTAGGGATCTATTTAAGGCACCCATAAAGAAATGCCAGAAAAATGCTGGTGATTTGCTCAAGGAGGAAGTTTATGGGCAAAGTCTTCAGAAGGAAAAGTGGAACGGCAGCAACCCCAACCCTCACCCCCCTCCCACTTCGTGGCTGGAACCGAGCACAGCCTCCAAGATGCCAAAGATGGGAAAGTCTATATTTTCCTCTGTCTATGTATAGTTGTCTGTCTTGTCATTGTATAACGGTATTGAATGTTTGCTGTATATGTGTTCTATTATCCACTCTGAGTCCTCTTTAGTGTAAAGATGGTGGAATATAAATACAGTGAATAAATAAATATATCTATATGCTAAAACATTATCTATGTCAACATTCCTTTTTTAGATGTTGACGTCTCCTCACCTGATGAGAAGTCAGTAATCACTTATGTGTCATCACTTTATGATGCATTTCCCAAAGTTCCCGAAGGTGGTGAAGGCATCAGTGCACACGTAAGGAAGAGATTAATATTTTAATACTCTTTTCACATAAAAAAATAAATGCGAGGAAGAAGGATTCATTTCCCTGGCAGTTGCAATGAAAACAGGTCATTGTTTGATATTTGGAGCTCTGGAGGCTAAGGGGCCAGATGCCAAGGGAGGGTCATTAATTGAATAAGCTAATTGCTTAGATTTATTTACAGGATTTAAAATAGTATGATATGCATTTGCTTTCTATTTACCAAATTGTGTGTACCCATTAGGATGTTGAAGTCAAATGGGTCGAATATCAGAATATGGTGAACTACCTCATCCAGTGGATCAGACACCATGCCACAATAATGAGCGACAGAGCGTTTCCAAACAATCCTGTGGAACTTAAGGTGACAGTTGTTTCTGTATAAGATGTCAAGATGTTTTTGATTGGATATAAATTTTGTGTTGTTGATTTATAGAGTAACCTTCTGTTCATTTAGGGATTTAATCACAAAACCCAAATGCCTCCATATTTACACAAATTAGTTATACTGTATACTTTCCCTATATTGTGTTCAGAACACCTGCACTATTGTGCCAAAGGAATATTTTGGTTTTAATAGAGCTCCAGCACATCAACTCAATTCCACATCCATTATGGCTAGATACCAGTCTACATAGTATTTATTTTATTTATCGTGTCAGAAGCAAAATGAGGGTACAGTTATAATGTATTTTTTTTAAAAAAACAAAGTTAAAAACTTGGTATTATACTAAATTTCCTTTGACCAGAAGCTGGCCGCTTGGAGTGCCTCTGGTGTTGCCATGAGAAGGTCCCCTATTGTGCATGTAGCAGGGCTGAGACTTCATTGTAATAGGTGGTCTGTGATTTGCTCTTCTCCACACTTGCATGTCATGGTCTCTACTTTGTAGCCCCATTTCTTAAGATTGGCTCTGCATCTCGTGGTGTCAGAGCGCAGCTTGTTCAGTACCTTCCAGGTAACCCAGTCTTCTGTGTGCTTAGGAGGATTTTTCTCATTCAGTCTCAGCCACAGATTGAGGTTCTGGGTTTTAGCCTGCCACTTTTGGGCTCTTGCTTCCCTGGGTGTTCCCGCGAGTATCTCTGTAGATCTCAGAAAGCTGTTTTTTTACTTAAGACATTGGCTTGCTGTCTAATATTCAGAGGATGGAACAGAGATGTCACTGCCTTGCTCCTTTCATCATTGGCTGCTACTTCCTGGTGGATGTCAAGTGGTGCAATACTGGCTAGACAGTATAATTTCTCCAGTAGTGTATGGTGTAGACATCCTGTAATAATGCAGCATGTCTCATTAAGAGCCACATCCTCTGTTTGAACGTGGTGAGATGTATTCCACACTGGGCATCCATATTCAGTAGCAGAATAGCAAAGTGCAAGGGCAGATGTCTTCACTATCTCTGGTTGTTATCACCAGGTTGTGCCAGTCAGCTTTCATATGATATTATTTCTAGCACCCACTTTTTGCTTCATATTCAAGCAGTGCTTCTTATAAGTCAGAGCACGGTCCAGAGTAACTCTCAGGTATTTTGGTGTGCTGCAGTTCTCCAGTGGGATTCCCAGGTAATCTTCAGAGCTTGAGATGCTTGTCTGTTCCTAAGATGACAAGTCTACACACTATTAGTAATGGCATGAGGCAGATCTTTGAGGAATATAGATGGTGGTGCACATCATATTGCTACATGTTATCCTATGTGAAAACGCCTTGTACATGGAAATCTAGCGTTTCTAAGGAGGTTACGCTTCCTTCCACCCATCATCCTACTAGTTTCACAAAAGCAGAATTTTATGCATGGGGATGCTCGTGGATGTACTCCTCTCAAGTCCTAGGCCCCTTCTACACTGTCATATAATCCAGATTTTCAAAGCAGATAATCCACACTATCTGCTTTTAACTGAATTATATGAGTCTACACTAACATATAATCCAGTCCAAAACAGATTTTATATAGCAGTGTAGAAGGAGCCTTAAATATTCTCCCTCAATCAGTTTATTTTTTTATTAATGGTAATGCAGAGACTGACATCTTGGATTAATTAGACACGATAATAGCAGCCCAGTAGCCATTAGGAAATCGGAACAGAACCTAAAGCCTTGGGTATAGCATTCATGTAAATACTGAGCAAGTAGGGGATCTCCCTGGCTTGAAGGCATAGCTTTATCGGAGGCTGTGCAAACTAATGCCATGGATTATACAAATTTATTGGTTTGGATGGTTAGTCCCATTCATAATAAAGAAGTTGAGCTGTTTTGTATATTTTGGGAAACCACGGGCATCAGTGGTCAGAAGACTTGATATTAAATATGACTCAAGTTGTGTGGATGCTAACTGGAGTGTGAATTGGAAAGTAACAGTTGATTTTTCTCAATAAACCCAGGACAGTGAGTAAGATAGCATAAACTAATTTCTCATAGTTGGATTTAAGAAATGTTTCATCATTTTTAGGTGACCAAGAATTGCATCTTTAGAAAAATATAGCAATATTTATTTGTTTTTTAGGCACTTTATAACCAGTATTTACAATTTAAAGAAACAGAAATACCACCAAAGGAGACGGAGAAATCAAAAATCAAACACCTATATAAATTACTGGAGGTAAGATTTATGTTACCAGATTATTGCATGCCAGATTTATGTTTACAGATTATTGTTTCTTGTAATCTGAGCTTCATGCAATCATTCCTTGTTTTTGAAGGTGTGGATAGAATTTGGGCGTATCAAGCTTCCTCAAGGTTACCACCCAAATGATATTGAAAAGGAATGGGGGAAGCTAATTATTGCTATGTTGGAAAGAGAAAAAATGCTTCGCCCAGAAGTTGAAAGGTATGTAGATAGTCATCTAATTTTAAACAAATTTAGGATACAGTAGCATTTTATAAATTGATTTTCTTGGCTGCTCCATTCCTAGTGGATATTGTGTTTAAAATGAGCAAACTGTCTAAGCCCAATTATTTATGTTATTTTCAGAGGGGTTATTCATCATTAACTGTAATATAGCTATTGTGTAACAGTTTTGTTGCATTAATATGTTGCTTTGGAGTACTAGGATAACTTAGAGGTTGTGAGTTATTTCTAACAATGAAAGATTTATTTTCTTTGAAAGGCGTATGCCATGATTCATCTTATTGTAACTAAATAGATATCTCTGTATATACTCAAGTATAAGCTGACCCGAATATAAGCCGAGGCACCTAATTTTACCACAAAAAACTGGGAAAATTCCTTGTTTTTGAAGGTGTGGATAGAATTTGGGCGTATAAGCCGAGCCTGGGAAATGCAGCAAATACTGGTAAATTTCAAATTAAAAATAGATATCAATAAAATTACATTGAGGCATCAGTAGGTTAAATGTTTTTGAATATTTACATAAAACTGTAATTTAAGATAAGGCTGTCCAACTCTGATTAAACCATTATTCTTAACTTCTTCAATATACATGCGTTTACATATCCTTCCAATAATATGGATTATTAATAAGGATCTTGGACAAATAGAACTATGCACTTTATATGTTTTAATCTGTTTACTGTTTTAATGTGTTTATTGACTAATTATTAACTGTTTTAATGGAGGGGATATGTTATTGTTTTTACTGTTGATTTTACCAGTATTGAATTGTACCGGAGTTATAAACCGCCTTGAGTCCCCTGAGGGGGAGAAAGGTGGGCTATAAATAAAGTAAATAAAGTAATAATAATTGGAGTAAATAATAATAATAATAATAATAATAATAATAATAGTAAAATAATAAATGTAATAAAATAATAATGATTACAGAGTAAAATGATAAATTACTTTGACTTGAGTATAAGCCGAGAGGTTTTTTTCAGTCTTAAAAAAGGGCTGAAAAACTTGAGTATATAGGATAATTCTATTGTCAGGCTTGAAACAGACTTTCATATGGTGATTAACAATTTATGTTCTGGTATTTCAGTTCAGTGTGGCTAAACAAATAGTTACATCAAAAACACAGCTGCCCCTGCTGGTCCACTTTTCCCATAAAGGAATACACCACAGCTTTGATTGTGTATTCCTGTATGGCATGGAGTTGGATGGGATGGCCCCTCTGTGAATCTATACATTATATACCAAAACGTTTATGGTGGTGCATTTTGAGTAAAATCAGGACCTTTTGTCTTTGGCAATCAACTGCAATCCCTTCAGCCTGGAGGAAAGTTCCCCACCTTCCAGGTGTGTCCCAACTTTTCCACCTTTCCAAAAGTAGTAGTACCTTCTTTTAGACACAGTGTCTCAGGGAAACATCTGTGTTTAAGTCAGCATGCCTCTCAGTACTAGGATCAAAACAGACATGGTTTGCACAGCATCCATCATGTGGTTTTCTTCTCCACAAAGGAGGGGGGCTAGGAGGAGGAAGAGATGAAGGAAGCGAAATAGAAGGAGGAGGAGGAAAAAGAGGAGGAGGAAGATAATTATGAGACTTAACACTGGATCTACATTTCTCAAAATAATCTGGGGTACTGTATTGTACTCTGAAGCTGCCCCAAATAAAGCACAAAAGCTCTCTGGAGCTCTTAGGTGTCCAGAAAGCCATCTGGGTTTAGAGTGCATTGGGCGGCTGCCAGTGCTACTGTATTTCATCGGCTTAAAGCAACTCCTTGGTAGACCATTGTTGCCAATGTCGCCTCTCATGAGGCCACAACAGGGCACCCAGCCTTGTGACCAACCAAAATGATGTTACCCACAAGGCTCTGCTAAAACACTGCTTCTAGTTAGAGACATCTTGATGGGTCTGTTTGATATGTAGACAGTGGATTTCTCATGTACCAGATCAATGGCTGAAAGCAATGCTTCTGCTGCAAAACCAGTTGTATATCAGGCAACTTATTGCCATAGTTGCAAGGTGAGCTTATTTCATTTGGTCCTGACAGAAAAGTGGGATTTAACGTCCCTCCTGTATCATTTCCCACAGAAATTCCCACTATTTTCCTTATGGGAACATCATCAATCAAAAGCAGTGGTTCTCAACCTTCAAACACCCCAATGTCTGCAGCTGCAGTTTGAACTTTGCAAATTAACAAATTGTTTAACCAATTTGATGCTGAGAATCAAGCAAATTGGCTAATAGGAAAAAAGGCAAAGAGAGGAGATTGAACCTGAAGCACCAACTATTTATTTATTGTCCAACCTGTACTGAAAATATTTATCTCTTTCTATAGATCTGTTTCACCACTGGATCTCCTTCTATCATTTTTAACGTCTAAATCCCTCTAATTAAACTACTCTTTCTAAATTCCCTCCAGTTACATTTTCACATAAGACTCCCTTGAATTGTTTTTAAATTCTTAATTATTTTTGTCTGCTATCCTCTCCAGTCTTTAAGATGCTGCAACTTAGTCCACGGGTAAACACCCCCCTCTTCTCCTGGCCCGGCTTCAGTCTTAAAAAGCAGAACAATAACAAAGGGTCCTTGCTCATTGATTATGGTTTTTGGGACAGCCAGATGAATTCCTGCCCTTTAAGATACTGACTGGGCATGCTGCCTATTCTATTACAGAACAGCCAGTGGCTTTCAGCCTGCTTTTGACATGATCCTAGCCACATCTCTTTGTCTTGTCCACCATGTGTAGTAATTTCTGTAGGACACAGAAAAGGATTTTTCATGGGAAGTGAAAATGGCAGAGAAGAGAAAGAATGGCACTGTTCTTACCCACTCTCAATCAAAGCTTTGTTCTTTCCCGAGGTTTCAGTGATGATAGAGGAAAGAAAGGCTCTAAGGGACAACAGTATGTGACTGTCTTGCAGGGTGGTGAGCAGGAGAAATGGAAATACTAATCCTTAACTGTGGAAATCAGCCTAGTACATGCCAGAGCACTCTTGTATGTTCTGTTGGCGTGAGCCAATTTTGATATAAAATTGACTTATCTAAAAACAGTGGCCTTCTATTGCTTATCTATACAGTAATGGGATTTATTTTTCTCAAATGCTTTTCAGCATGATGAGGCCCCTGTATGGTAACTTCACCATATCATTTAAGCATTCTACGATGCCTTTTTAAAGGCAGCCCTTAGTTGGGGGTGGGGAATGGGGATGGGATACTAACAGCTGTGCTGGAAAAATGACTGCTCCTAAAAGAATTTGAATTTTGCTAATTGACTTTTTTTTTAAAAAAAAAACTTCCATTTTGTTTGACCTCACAAAAGCAAGACAATCAGTATGCAAGGATTTGACAACAAAGTAACATAAGAATAGCTCACCAGAAATGGAAAAAGTTATTTAGGGGACCTAAACTGGAGGAGCTCCTGTTGGTGCAGTGGGTTAAACCGCTGAGCTGCTGAATTTGCTGACTGACAGCAGTTAGAATCCAGGGAGTAAGGTGAGCTCCCACGGTTAGCCCCAGCTCCTGCCAAACCTAGCAATTCAAAAACATGCAGATGTGAGTAGATCAATAGGTATCACTCCAACCGGAAGTTAATGGCACTCCATGCTGTCATGCTGGCCACATGACCTTGGAGGCATCTATGAGCAATGCTGCCTCTTTGGCTTAGGAATGGAGATGAGCACTACGCCCCAGAGCCAGACACTACTAGACTTAATGTCAAGGCAAAACGTTTACCTAAACCTCTTACAATTCCTCAACCCGTAGCATTCTGGTTGGGGGAAGAATCATACTTGCTACCTTTGAATTTGGATGAATGTTCACTGGTGAATTGGAGAAACAGTTTTATTGAGAAATGAATTTCAGTTGAGAAATAACCAGCTGGAGGCGAAGTAAATCACTTTTTAGTCCGTATTCTTAGTCTATTCTAAAGTACATATTTTGTACTGTCTCCCTGATTGCATCTGAAATTAAGTGCAGAAAGAACCAAATTTATGGGTTCCTTGTTTAGTATTGTCCATGCCTGCCTAGTTATTGAGAGTTTACAGTGTAAATATCCAATGCTTTGCAAAAGGATGTATGATCTTTTTTTTCTTTTTTTTTTTGCCAATCATGCAATAACTACACGGTGAGCCAGCTCAGCTTTTATAAGGATAGCTCATTGTGTTCACAGTGGCAATGGTGTAATTTGGGTGGGGTTTTATAGAACCTGAAGAGACTGAGTAATAGGGCTAAGAGTGGAATTTAGGAAGAGAGCAGGCATGCAACTTCTTTTATGGGCAAAAGAAAAGAGTCCCAGATGATCATGAAATCAGTAACAACAACAAAAGCAGTAGTACTAATAGTAATGTTTTCTTTTGAGCTAAACACCAGGCAATTGTTAAGTAAAAAGTACTGACTGATCTCATTTCAACAGCAAAGAGATTGCTAGGAGGAGACATGTGGCTTAGGTTTTGGATGTATAGACAGAAATAGAAATCTAACCTCTTAGAAACCTTTCCAAAATCAACCAAACTAATGTCCAAACACACCAAAATATGACAGTTTAGCTAACTCCCAATCTGATCTCAAATTCTCTCTCAAAGGAGACAAAACAACCATGAATTGGTCAAATATAAAGCAAAGGCAAATCTGGAGGTGGTGTTTGGTCATTTTTGTTTGCCAAGAATGCATTGGTATAGCCTCAGGGAAAAGGAGAAGAAAAAAATCAATCCCTATTGCAGACAGCTACCCTGTCACATATAAGCATCAACATGGCAAGATAAACATGCCCCAGTTTGTAGCATTTTCTATGGAAAGCTGTTTTTGAAAAGTGCACAGTGCTCTGATCTGACTGTTCCCTAGAGCTAGTTAGAGAGCACACATATCTCCGGCTTCACAGTGTTTTGAACCATTTGAAGGTCACTCATAGTGCTGAATATGACATATAAAGCCCTATAGAAGTTAAGGCCAGGCTGTTTAGAAGACTCCGTTTTTCGATATCATTTTGTGATTTCAAGATCCTTGGAAAGGATGCTTCTCTGTCCACTGAGGGCAGATTTGGTGGGGATATGAGAGAGGACCTCCTTAATAGAGCCTACATAGTCTGGATCTTTTCCACAAGGTGGGATAGGACCAGCCCTCTTTCTTGTTGTCTTTTTGCTGGCAGGCAAATCTGCCTTAATTTAGGCAAGATTTTGGAATTTACTCTGGTATGTTGCTGAAAAAGGTTTGAACTTGTCAGGTGTTGCCTATCTGTTCTTTCCCCCCTGTTATTAATTGTTTTTCTTTACTATTCTGTGATTCTGCATTTTATTATTGTTTGTCACCTTCAGTATTAGTTTTGGCAGATAAACAGAATATACAATTGCCAAATGGATAGGTGGTGTTGATGAACCTGCTTAAAATCAACCAAGCATGTATTTATTTGGAGCATATGTATCCCACCCACCAGCCAAAAAGGCTCCTAGAACAGCTCATATAAGATCATGCTTAATTTTTATTCTTTCCAAGGGTCTGTGTATAATTTAAATGGGATGTAAATGTAGCTATAGGATTACAGTGAATCATATTGGATTACAATGAATCATATGAAAGCTGCAGACAGTGCACTTCTGTTGAAACGAAATATCTGTGGACCTGGGTGAGGGACCATTTAGACCAGGAATGGGCAAACTTCAGTTCCCCGGGTGTTTTGGACTTCAGCTCCTACAATTCCTAACAACCTACCTAACATCAGATATGGTGTTGAAATCCAAAACACCTGGAGGGCTGAAGTTTGCCCATGCCTTATTTAAATTCTCAGAAAAAGTAGGATTAAATAGTCTTTCAGGAATATATATGCATTCAAAGTACTGCCATATAAAACCTACATACAGAGGTTGTTTACTGTAGAAGAAGGGTCCCCTCCCCATTATTCAAAGCATTTTGCTTACTGAGATTGAATGAGACTTACTTAAAGTATTTGGCATCTCTCATTCCTAGTTAACGCCCTAACTATTGTGATTAGTCCATACTTGTAGAGGCAATTCAAGCTAGACAGCCAAACCCACATTGGCATATATAGCTGAAGGCGAAATCTTCTGAAGAACATTATTTTCAGGGCTTTGATATGCATGCTGAGACCTATTTAAGGATGCAAGGTTTGAGCTTTCCTTAAAGCTCTCAAGTCCTTGGAAGCTGTGTGTTTTTGTAGGCATTTTGCGTTTTTGACATTTTAAATGGGCTAGCAGGGCAGTTTTTTTGGATGTGAAAATGACTACCAACAGTTATGGCTACCAAAGCAGCGACTCTGTGTTCAGTAACAGCACCAGCACACGAACCAGTCTTGATTCCAATGAAAACTTCTTGTCAGTTAACTGTGGTCCAACTCTTGTAAACTCTTGTATAAGTTTTGGCAATGGTCCCATGGATGGAGCCAGGTAAGTGTTGGAATTAAGTTGCAGTTTACTATTTATTTGGTAAAAAGGTAAAGATAATAATGTGGTTTTCGTGCCCCCTCCCAAATACATGACATTGATATGTCGTGGCTTCATCATCTTTTAGGTTAGAAATGCTGCAGCAGATTGCGAACAGAATTCAGAGGGATAGCCTGAGCTGCGAAGACAAACTAATGCTTGCTCGAAATGCAGTGCAATCAGTAAGTGACTTTGAATAGCTTTCTCCTTTCCTCATTTTCTGTACTGAAAGCTAGAAAGGATGGTCAGGAATGGGATGGCATTGCAACTGAAAACATTTGGGTTCAGATCTTTCCACAACTATAAATGGACATGACTATACAATTGGAAATGTCACGTCTTTCAGAAACGGTGTGAAATATGCTTATGTTTGCAAAAGCAAGTATATCAGGATACCCCAGAAGTAGATGTAGCTTGTGTCATTATCATCAGTGATCACTTGTGTCCTAGTATGATTGTCTTCCAAGTATAGTGTCTTGGCAGTGGGTCCATAGGAGACTATAGGGACCTATTCTTTATCCACATGTTCTTCCACAGTGAGAACATCTATTTCCAGGTGGAAGGTGGTCTTGGTCAGAGTTGGCTTGATGTGCCTTCCTCTTGACATGTTTCTCCTTATCGCCCTCCATTTGAGGAGCTTATTTCAATAGATATGCATGACATAAAGTGAGAAGATTTGAACCTGAAGTGACTCATCTCAAAGTACTGCCGGTTACTTTGTCTGTTATTAAGTTAGGTTGCTTTTATATTGTTTGTTATGGTTTGTCCTGATGTAGTTCGTTTGAATGTTTTTCCCTTTTGGCATTGAATGTTTGCTATACATATTGGAAACCACCCTGAATCCCTTTGGGGAGATAAGGTGGTCTACAAATGATGATGATGGTGGTGGTGGTGATGGAGTGGATAAAATGCAACTTTGGGGCTGCAGATGACCCCAAAAATAGATCACCCACTTTTGCCTCTCTCTGGACTATACAGATGAGCTTAAAACCATTGTGTTAAACTTTTCAACTACTGCTTTGTCAATAACACAATCAAATTTAAAATGAGGCGCTAGAAGAGCTCCCAGAGTGAGATGGACATGGCCAGCAATTGCTATTATTTTTTAGATATGGTGCAATGGCAATTCCACTGCTTTTCAGATGCTCCGTCCTATGAGTTTTGGGGATGGAGAGAATTCTCAACAAGATCACAATTGCTATCTTGGTGTACAAAAAGTTTTAAAATATGATTTTAAAAGTTTCAAAGTAACATTTTACACACATATCCTTTTGTGCTGGTCATGGGCCATAATAAAGTGTTGTTGTTGTGGTTATTATTGTTGTTGTTGTTGTTGTACACACATATTCAGGAGTTCCTTGTAATCTCTAGGCGTGGAAGATTGGACATTTTCTTTGTTTTCTTTTGGAAATGCACTCCAGTTTGAACACTTGTGTTGTCTATGTTTAAATATTTTGCAACAGATTATTCAAGCGTTTTCCTGTAGGGTTTGACTTGCAATTTCTGAAAATGTGCATAAATGCCTGTCTGTTCTCTAGTATCTGATACTTAAGGCAGTTAATATACTGAGAAGGAACACTGTAGCTTGGTTTTGGTCCATGGTTCTTAGACTACAAGCTGCTATTCTTAAAATATGGGTATCTTGTGAATTAAAAGATAGCCGGTTGTTAATAGCTCTAGAAAACCACCAGCAAATCTCCTTTCACTGCTTAAACAAATTGCATCTGAAAGATAAATTTAGCCTATTTGTTATTTTATCACTGTAAAACCAATAATTATTTCCTCATTATAGGGCAAGTATTATTGCAAAGATCCATCTGCAGTAAGCATAGTACTACCCGCAATTCTAGCAAAACAGCACATCACAGAAGGCAAACAAAATGATTAATTTATCTAAAAATGCTTGATAAATAAGCAGGTCTGTACATGTTTTAGAAAGTCACTGGCACAACCTCGACTTCTGGGCAGGCTTTTGTAAGACAAAATGGCACTTTTCTTTTGCAGTGAAAGAATTTCCAGTACAAGATCTTTGAAATGGGAGAATGTCTTGTGCTTAACTCTTCTGTGGATTTGTTTAGTCCTCATCATTTTAGGACTTCATTTGGCACCCAAAATGCTAAATCAGTTTTATTATGAAATACACTTTCATGAAGAATTATATGCTTAGAAAAGCATGATGAAGATGCATTGCACGTTCCCCAGAACATATGTATTATGACTTATAACATGTCTCATGTTATGCCGTGTTAGAATGTCTTGCAGTGGCTAATCCTTATGGTGCCACAGGATTGTTTGTTTTATTTGCTCCAACATACTTAGCACAGTCAGGGGCTGTGGTGGTGCAGCAGGTTAAACCGCTAAGCTACAGAACTTGCTGTTTGGAAGGTTGGCGGTTCGAATCCACTGAAAGGCTGAGCTCCCATTGTTAACCCCAGCTTCTGCCAAACTAGCAGATCGAAGACATGCAAATGGGAGTAATAATAATAATAATCATCATCATCTTTATATCCCGCCACCATCTCCCCGAAGGGACTCAGGGTGGCTTACAAGGCACTCCATGGTGCACATACAACATACAATAGTAGCTCAATAGGTACCACTTTGGCAGGAAGGTAACAGTGCTCCATGCAGTCATGCTGGCCACATGACCTTGGAGGTGTCTATGGACAATGACGACTCTTCGGCATAGAAATAGAGATGAGCACCACCCCCCAGAGTCTGACATGATTAGACTTAATGTCAATGGGAAAGCTTCTGGAAATTCAAATGACTGGCTTGAAATCTAGCTTTCTTCTAGATAAAAGAAGATGGTGAAAAAAAGTGATTTGAGCATAAGCCTATTTTATCAATCTCTTCCTTGACTCAATATAGCCTTCTAGTATCCAGAAACTGCTTGATATACTTATTGAAGCTGTACCCCAGACTCACTTATTATTATTATTATTATTATTATTATTATTATTATTATTATTAACTTTATTTGTACCCCACTAACATCTCCCGAAGGATTCGGTGCGGCTTACTTAGCCCAATGAATATAGTTGATCTATTGCTCAGTAACTATCTGTAGAGTTTTTGTATGAATAACTGTTCATAATTTTGGTTTTATATGTACAGAGAAATAGTATTATCGTTATGTGCGTAGCTTTTTGTATGTGTTTGCATGTGTATAGTAGTGTATAGATATCACAATAAATGTCCTTTGCAAATTGTTTATTTGTTTAAATATGCAACCATCACCATCTACTTCTTTCTCTATTTCATACCATCATTTTGTGTGAACTAGAGCTTCATATTAAATCAATTTTGTATATTTTATATATACAGCTTTTACATATATATATACATACACATACATATACACACACAAGTTTAATATATTTTAAAAATTGCTGTACAGGATCGATATAAAGATTTAATCTTTAAAACAACAGTCTTACCTTTAACAATTTGGTTTATCTTACAGTACAGATAATGTAACACCGATGCATATAGATAATTTATTTTCCAGTGAAATAAATGACCAAATTTGATTTCTAACACAGGATGGAAAACGATTAGAATCAGGTCTGCAGTTCCAGAATGAAGCTGAAATCGCGGGCTATCTACTTGAATGTGAGAATTTACTTCGCCAACAAGTCATAGATGCCCAACTTCTTATTGATGGAAAATATTATCAGGCAGACCAACTAGTCCAGAGGTACATATTTTATGCTGTTACTTATGCAGTATATTCACAGAATTGATATCTTGTTAATCACTATGGCAAAAATATAAAGTCTGCTTCTAGGATTACCTAACAATTATAATATTTTAAATATAAAAGAATATGGGATTTGTAAGGATGCTATCCTTGAAATAATTGGCTTGACCTTGAAGAGCTGGGGGTGGCGACGGCCAGCAGAGAGCTCTGGCATGGAGTGGTCCATGAGGTCACGAAGGTTGGAAACAACTGAACGAATAAACAACAATATTACTTCTCCCCTCCTTCCAATACAGGCAGCCCCCAAGTTGCAAAAATCTGACTTACAATTCATTGTTAATAACGAGAGCGAGACAACAGGAAGTGAGAGACATCTACCATTTGGAAGGCAAATTCATTTCTGTTAGACTTATCATGGTGTCTCCACTGCAGCTTTATCACCAGTCCTTGTTTCCACAACAAGGCAATTTTTCCTGAATCCAATTATCACGATAAGTGATATCTTCTGAACAGGGGCACAGGCAGCAAAAAAAAACTCCACAGGAGTGGTAACCCTTTCCTGTTCTATCCAAAGATTATATATAAAAGTAGATATAAAGTGGATAAAGGTAGATAAATAAATGCTCAAGTGTGATTAGGCCCTATGTAGTCAACCAGTTTAGCAACATGCAACTATCTGTCTCAGCAGATGACAGCTAGACTTTTACATAGTGGTCTACCTGGATTATTGTACCAAGTTGATTGAATCTTGCAAGCATCTCTGATGTGTGTTATATTTTTGACCTGAACTTCAGAGGATGTGTATTTATCTGGTATTGTCTGAGTGGTTTTATTTATTCAATTTCCTAGACTTCAGCATGTGTGTGTGCTAAGTGGAGGGCATTGCAGAGCCATGGGATCACCACCGAGAAGGTCCTTTCCCTTGTCCCTACCAACTGTGCTTTTGACGGAGGTGGGACCATGAACAGGGCCTCTGTGGGGGGACCTCAGGGGCTGGGAAGGTTCATAGGGGGAGATACAGCCACATAAATAGATTGGACTCGAACAGTATAGGGCTTTATAGGTAATAACCTGCACTTTGAATTGGTCTCCAGAAACGTACAGGTAGTCAATGGAGCTGTTTTAACAGGGGGTTGGTGGTGGTATGCTCCCTGTAATCAGCTCCTGTAAGTAATCTGGCTGCTGCTTTTTGCACTAGTTGTAACGTCTAAGCCGTCTTCATAGGCAGTCTCACGCAGAGTGCATTACAGTAATCCATTTGAGCTGTAACCAAGGCGTGGACCACCGTGGCCATATCTGGCTTTTTGAGGTACAACACACAAGCCTTAATTGTGCGAAGGCCCTCCTTGCCACCGCCGACACATGAGCTTCAAGAGTCAGTGCTGAGTCCAGGACGACCCCCAACTGGCAGACCTGTGTCCTTAGGGGGAGTGTTACCCCATGCAGCAGAGGTTGTTACCCTATACCCGGATCAGCCTCCCTACTTACCAAGAGGACCTCTGTCTTCTCTGGATTGAGTTTTAGTTTGTGAGTCCTCATCCAGCCATCACAGCTGTCAGGCACTGCTTCAGGACCCGGACAGCTTCTTTGGCTTTCGATGGAAATGAATAATAGAGTTGTGTGTCATCTGCGTACAGATGGCGCCTAACTCCAAAACTCCGGATGACTTCCCCCAGCAGTTTCATGTAGACATTAAGTAGCATGGGGGATAAAATCGAGCCTTGTGGGACTCCACAAGCCAATTGCCAGAGGTCCGAGCAGGCATCTCCCAGCAGCATCTTCTGGGTCTGGTATATGATATATGTTCTGTATTTCAAAAACTATAGTGAATAGGGGGAAACTGGTGCTATTATTGGAAATAGCAAGTCAAATTTGAATCCCGGGAGCAGGGTGAGCTCCCTCTGTCAGCTTCAGCTTCTCATGCGGGGACATGAGAGAAGCCTCCAATAGGATGGTAAAACATCCGGGCATCCCCTGGGCAGTGTCCTTGCAGACTGCCAATTCTCTCACACCAGAAGCAACTTGCAGTTTCTCAAGTCACTCCTGACTAAAAAAAAAAGTGATTAGCTTTTGAATTAATACTAAGCTGAGATTTTAAGCAATACCCAGTTACTTTCCTTTCTGTAAACAAACATTTTTTCTGGTTTTTTTTTTTAACAGAGTTGCAAAACTACGAGATGACCTCATGGCCTTAAGAGCAGAGTGCTCCTCAATCTACAGCAAGGGGAGAACGCTGACAACAGAACAGACCAGGATGATGATATCAGGAATAACACAAAGCTTAAACTCAGGATTTGCACCAAACTTAAGCCCAGGTTTAAACTCTGGACTCAGCCAGGGTTTATCACCCTCCTTGACTTCATCCAGTCTAACATCAGGTTTATCATCAGGTCTTTCTTCGAGACTGACTCCCGCCATCACCCCAGCATACACACCAGGTTTCCCACCACGGTTAATTCAGAGTTACATTACTGGAGTTGACAGTGGTGGATTGCAAACACTCAAACTGATGCAGATCCGAAAGCCCCTGATGAAATCAGCATTTGTCGATCAGAATTTAACAGAGGAGGAAGTCAACATGAAATTTGTCCAGGACCTTTTAAGATGGGTGGATGAAATGCAGGTAAAATCTTTTACTTTTATAGTTTTCTGTTTCGTCTTTTTTCTTGGCAGCTTTGAGGATTCAGCTTTAATTTTCAGTTTCTCTCTCTCAGGTGCAGCTGGATCGGACTGAGTGGGGCTCGGATTTGCCAAGTGTTGAAAGCCATGTAGAAAATCACAAGAATGTCCACAAAGCAATTGAAGAATTTGAGTCAAGCCTTAAAGAAGCAAAAATCAGCGAGGTATAGCATGTAAAAATCAAAGTACCTTGTGGCTATGTCTATACAGGAATATTATATAATGAATTACTCATCAGATAATAACTGATTTCATAACCGTTCTTGGATTAGAGTGCTCTGCCTTTGTTATATTCATTACATGAATACAATGACATCTATGACTCTTTTATTAACTTGCATGTTGGATTTTTAAATAGTGATTTTCTTTCTTTCATTTCATTTCTTATCTACAGATGCAAATGACTGCTCCCCTTAAACTTAGCTATGCAGAAAAATTACACAAACTGGAGAGCCAATATGCAAAACTTTTGGTAAGCTCCTTGCTTGGCCATCTGGTTTTGAGATGTATAGTAATAACAAAAATTAGAATAAAAATTGGGTTGCTTGGTGTTTTCTGGGCTGTATGATCGTGTTCCAGAAGCATTTTCTCCTGACGTTTCGCCCACATCTATGGCAGGCATTCTGCAGAGGTTGTGAGGTCTGTTGGAAACTAGGCAAGTGAGGGTTATATATCTGGAATGCCTAGGGTGGGATCAAGAACTCTTGCCTGCTTGAGGCAAGTGTGAATGTTGCAATTGATAACCTTGATTTACATTGAATGGCCTTGCAGCTTCAAGGCTTGGCTGCAATAAATATTGTATTTCTTTTTATGTCTTTCAAGAATACATCAAGAAATCAGGAAAGACACCTTGATACCCTTCACAATTTTGTATCACGAGCTACAAGGGAACTCATATGGTTGAACGAAAAAGAGGAAGAGGAGGTTGCTTATGACTGGAGCGAAAGAAACACAAATATAGCAAGGAAAAAGGAATACCATGCAGTAAGCATTAACCTATTCAAAAGGACACATTAAATAAGGCATTTCTTATTTACTTGGTGTTTCTAAAATGAATTGTCTTTTCATTTGGAAGGAACTGATGAGAGAACTTGATCAGAAAGAAGAAGTGATTAAATCAGTTCAGGAAATCGCAGAACAATTGCTGTTTGAAAACCACCCTGCAAGGTTAACTATTGAGGTAGGTTGTTAAGCCTGGCCAAGGAAAAGACAGCCACACAGATTAGACAATCTTCCGGAACTTTCTTTATGGGGCATTGAGTCAGTATATAGATTTACCCAAGGAGTAATTTCCTAGCCCTTTGCTTCATTCTCAGAAAATGCTCAATGAAATAAGAACCTTTGACTTATAGTATATACATTTAAGTTGTACTCTGAAATGTAATGTATGTACTACAACATATTGAATGCCATGTCCTTTTGGTTGCACTTTTCATTCTACCCCCCATCCCTTGTCACAGTGTACTTGTAGACATATGAAATGCCCAAATGTTATGCATCTGACAGAGTCCATGAGAGTCTATGCCAGTGGTTCTCAACTTGTGGGTCCCCAGGTGTTTTGGCCTACAGAAATCCCAGCTAGTTTACCAGCTGTTAGGATTTCTGAGAGTTGAAGGCCAAAACATCTGGGATTTCTGTAGGCCAAAACACCAGGTTGAGAACCACTAGTCTATGATATCCCTATTTTGTTAGAATTTAAGTTGTGACAGAATACTCTACTGTTAATAGCACAAAGCAAGTAATATCTGCAAGAAAACATTGCAATGTTCAGAGTGTTTTCTCTTCTTTCTGGAGGTTCTGTTACACTCCCTTCTACCTCCAAGGAAGAAAGCCCCTATAAATATTTAAATAACACTGAAATTGGTACCCCATGGCAAAGCAGCAGTTCCGTCCTTTGCATTAGGGGATTTCTTGGGAGTTTTCACTTGCAAAAAGTACTTCCTTTTAAGGGTGTGAAGTTTAGGCACATGCTCTAACTCATAAACCTCTGAATTTTTTTGGACATAAGATTTGTTTTTGGACTATCATCAAGTTGTATATTATTGGTAATCTGTTTTGATTTAAAATTTGTGTTGGCTACCTCAGGTAGAACATGACTTCCAAACAGGGCTTTTGGCTCCACAGTTGTGTGACATGTGCAGAACAGATAGTCACGCAAGTTCTGTTCTGAAACAATACAGATTTTATATAAACAGAGTTTTTTATACTCTTGGGACATGTAGCAGCAGGCCACTCCTTTTAAGCCTTCTGTAAACATCCAGATATACAATCTCTGTCTCTTTCAGATTAACTCCAGAACATTTTGAATTATATTTTGCAAATATAATTGGCATTCATCATTTAACAAAGGCCAGGGTACCTGTTGGCTTGAATGGGATTTTTTTTTTTTTTTTGGAAAATGTGAATCTCCGTAACCTTTGGAAAAGCATGACCTTGTTAGAGATCATAATCTTTTGGAAAACCCACTGGTTGCATAACCTTTTGGGAAAACCAGGAATCTCCTGAGAAGAGTTAAAAAAAACTCTGTTGAGTTAACCATCTCCTTAGTACAGTGGTTCTCAACCTGTGGGTCCCCAGGTGTTTTGGCCTACAATTTCCAGAAATCCCAGCCAATTTACCAGCTATTAGAGTTTCTGGGAGTTGAAGGCCAAAACATCTGGGGACCCACAGGTTGAGAACCACTGCCTTAGTGGAAATATCCACTAGTATTCAAGCAAGGCAATTAGGTTTCTCAGCTGTTAAACTGATATACCTTACCTATATATCTCTCTGACAAAGAGATATATATATCTAGGGACAAAGATATGCCACTGCTCGCTCGCTCGCTCTCTCTCTCTCTCTCTCTCTCTCTCTCTCTCTCTATATATATATATATATATATTATAGCAGAGTTTCAGAAGTGTTATTTCAGTTTCCCAAAAACATCTACTCTCCCATAAAATATATTGGTTTAAATCATGATCTCAAGAGACCAAAAATAAGTAGACTTCTTTAGAAGTAACATAGCTGGTTTACTCACAGACTTCATTTATTCAGCATACAGGTACTTTGCATATCAATTCAGTTGCAGATCAGATTTGAAGTAGTTTCTCTGTGCAGATAACACAGGGCATCTTTCTTAGAATGTTAACAGTCCAAAGTCCAAAACATCTCTCTGTTCTGAGAGTCTGATAGAGTCTCTTCTCTTCTTTGTTTCTACCCTTCTGAGCTGTACTGTACTCCTAAAATGGTGTCTTAGTCTGAACAGTTCCTAGATCTGATCACATGGTCTGCAGCCCCTCCTACAACGAAGAGTTAAGGAGAACTGCACACCAACACACACACATACAATACAGTAAGCAATTATATAGACAACAAATAACTAGCATAGAAGGCTTGTAGAAGGTTGCCATTTCTAACAAGTTTTGAATTGGTAGTAATTAAAGCAGAGGCTTCTTTTGGCCAAAATAAAAAGAAGGAAAACAGATATATAGGGAATATTATGTTTTGAATGACCTGGAATCTAATAAATTGAAATTTAGAAGGTTTTATTAAATTTTGTAGAAAAATACAGTTGGTTTCAGTTTTGGGGGATGTTATGTCTTTTTCTACTGTTATAAAGGCATTCAGGCCGACAGATTGAGAAATAATGTGGGAGTGGCTGTATTTCTTTTCTCTTTCATTCAAACCTCTTCCAAACAGTCAAATGTGTCCCTTTCTCTTTACCTATATCCTTAAGGCCTACCGAGCTGCAATGCAAACACAATGGAGTTGGATTTTACAACTTTGCCAATGTGTTGAACAGCATCTAAGAGAAAACATAGCATATTTTGAGGTAAGTATCACACGGTGAAAATTATGGATTGACCACAAATTGCAGCCTTAGAAACATGAGCAACAAGAAAAGGGCTTTGTGGATGTTCTCAAGTGTCAGATAATTGAGATTCCTAGGAATCCTTAGAAGTAACAGAATGAAAACTGCAATTTTAGTGATAGCAGATTATTTTCTTGAGTAATGAATGAGAAGCTACTATAGTTACTTTTTTGCATGTTTAACATAAAGTATTTAATATCTCAGTTTCTAGCATACTGAGAAAAATTTGTTAGTTATTCCAAACATTGTTTTGGGTGATAGAACAGTAATGTGATTTATGACAACACTTTGGAGATAAGAAGGTCCAAATAATTCAAAATATGGAACAAAATGAAATAAAAAAACACAAATAAATTTATTGTCATTTGAGTTATGAGAAACAACAGTACTAAGATGCTTAATAGACTCTTACAGTCACAATGAACACTAATATATTAGCTTTTACCAGTAATATTTCCAGGTTTTGAAGAAAATTGTATCCACTTTCTTAGGAATTTATGGAATCTTTCAGTCAGCCTTCCCCAATCTTTCTGTCTGTTTAAGGCTTCTGTCATAAAAATACCCTACAGTATGAATTTGTCTGCTTGGATTTGAAAACATTCTACTCACTTTTGAGTAACTAGAGAAAAAAAAGAGGGTCTTTCTGCACAAAGATGTCTTTTTACACAAAAATGTGTGTTTCATTCTAGTTTTTCAATGATGCTAAAGAGGCCACAGATTACTTGAGGAATTTAAGAGATGCTGTACATCGAAAATACAGCTGTGATAGGTCCAGCAGTCTTCATAAACTGGAAGATCTAATCCAAGAGTCCATGGTAGGATATAATATATTATCTGATTTCATCTTCTAAAAATTCTTCATTGATATGATTGTACCTTTTTGCTAGAGGGGTAACAGTGTCTGATGATTGTCATAATTCTGTCTTCAGAAGAAATTAATAAAGATGCTTGAATCTCAGTTTTAATACTAATGATGTTGAATACTGTTTTAATATTTGCATATTTGAGTCTCCTTATAGAGAGGAAAAAGAAAGATATAAATAAACTTAATAATAATAATAATAATAATAATAATTAGACTATTTTTTCATCTGAAACATTAAAGGTTATTTTTTGCAGGAGTCCTTAGTTTTGTCTTAATCTTGCATCATTAACTTTTGCAGTTGGTATTTGGAACTAGACAACTTCTACCCATTTTCACAACTGAATCAAAATAATGGAAATAAAAAATGGCTGCTTATAGGCTTTGGGCCATAGCTGCAATTAATGACTCCCCCCCCCCCTTTTCTTTTAAATTTGATATTTAGGAAGAGAAAGAACAGCTCCTGCATTACAAGAATGTCGTCGCAGGACTAGTTGGAAGAGCAAAGACAATAGTTCAGCTGAAGCCAAGAAATCCAGATAATCCACTCAAAACATCCATCCCAATTAAAGCTATTTGTGACTACAGACAAATTGAGGTGAGACTCTTATGTTTCTTCAAATTGATTGTGGTTGTGAGAAGATAGTTGAAACTGGATCAATGACATATTCCTGGAAAACTCTCTCATAATGTAAACAGCTAGTCCTTGTCTTCCTATCTGAGGGTTACATTTTTGTTTGTTTGGTCAGTTTTGCTCTACTGACATTTTTTCAGAAACAATATTTTAGAAATTCTTTGCAACATTTGGCTCATTCAGGTTTTCTCATCTTTTGTTAACAAAAAATAGATAACGATTTACAAAGATGACGAATGTGTGCTGGCAAGCAACTCTCATCGTGCAAAATGGAAAGTGATTAGTCCGAGTGGCAACGAGGCCATGGTTCCCTCTGTCTGTTTCACTGTTCCACCACCTAACAAAGAAGCAATAGATACTGCAAACAGGTATGTATCTACATGGTAAAAACATGCAAAAAGTATGCTCTGTTTTTTTTCTCTTTTAAAAATATTTCTTTGAATTGTATTTCTGCAGGAAATGCATAACATTTTTCTAGCCTTATGATTTCCTGCATGGTTTTGTGCATTTCAGAATTGAACAGCAATACCAGAATGTCCTAGCACTGTGGCACGAATCCCATATAAACATGAAAAGTGTGGTCTCCTGGCACTACTTGACAAATGAAATTGAAACGGTTCGAGCGAGTAATGTTGCTTCGGTAGGTTTTCATACCAAATACACCATTTATTTAAAATCTACAGGACTGGATAGTCTATGATGCAGAAAAAAAATCTATGTGTGGGTTAAAAACGATAATAGCCACACATACATGATTTCTTACTATGACTAAATATGGTGGTTGCACCTGCAGTTTATCTGTATAACAGGATAGGTAGAATATTGCTGGTAGATACATAACTCTATGTAACAACATTTGTTACATCTGGTTTGTGTTGGAATTCAGCCCCATACTGCTCAAGTCCTCAGCAAGGAGCAGTTAGTTTCCTATAGGCTGAGGGAATTCCTTTCCCCCATGTCTCCTGTATGACAGTTGTGAATGTATCTATTTTCTTCTCTCCTCCTTGTTTCTGCTCTCATTCTGATTGTATGTTTAAAATGAATACTTTTCTACTGCAAGCTTTTTGAATCTGATTTCTGCCTTCCTAGACTTTAGTATAGAGAGTATGTGCTGTGTGCTTTGAGCTCTCTCTCTGCATGTGTGTCAGAGAGATGTAGTGATTGATTTTTCCCTCTCTTGAAACCTTAGAAAAGATGGGTGTTAGAGTAGCTCAGACCCAGTTCTTGATTATTAAGAAATGCAGTTATTTCTTATTATTATCATCACCTTTTGTGATTTTTGAAGATTGGGCTCTGCATATTTGCCTCCTAAGCCCTGAATTCTTTACAGCCTCATCACATGGCACTTCATGCTTCATTGTGCAGTCTGTACTTTGAAAGTAGTTGTACTCCAGAAATGTCATTTTTGGGCTACAAACTATGTTGAATTGATTGAGTCTCAGTGAGATACTCATTGAAAGACTATAGCAAAATGGGCTGCAGGCTGTCCTGCAAAAATAAAGTTTTTGCAGTTTAATAAACTTTTCCCATGCTTTTGTGATAGAACCAATTAGGAAATGACATTTGTAACCCAAGAACAAAAATCATGTTGCATAGTGTAATTACAGCCCTTCTGGCACAGTTGCTGAAGGTATGCCAGTATTGTCCTGGTATTTCCTGAACAAGATATTTAAAATGTAGATGATATATTGATATGTATAAAATGTGTATATCAGGTTTAATGAGCGTTCCCTGAAACAGTTGCATGACTGTTTAGAGATTAATGTATTTAAAAAGTGCATTTATATGCTTCTTCTATAGTTCTTTGCTTTCTGGAGCACAGTTTCTCCAGAGGCCTCTTCTGATGCATTGCCCCCAAAGATGCAAGGGCTGTAATAGCTATATGTGTGCTCCCTTTTTCAAACATTAAAATACTACCCTGTTATCCTGTTTACTCTGCCAGAAAGACTTTAATTGTTCCCTTTTGATTTTCATACATCCTAGATAAAGACGCTACTGCCAGGTGAACATCAGCAAGTTTTGAGCAACTTACAGTCCCGCTTTGATGATTTCCTGGAAGACAGTCAGGAGTCTAAAGTCTTTTCAGTTGCTGACATTGCACAGCTGGAAAGGGAAGTGAACATTTGCAAGCAGTACTACCAGGAGCTCCTGAAGTCTGCAGAGAGAGGTAAAAATAGCAAATTTAGAAAGATACATCCCTTTCCGGATACTCATAGGTATCTGCTACAGCTTTCCAAGTGTGAACTGGATTGTATTACATGCGAGCTATATTTTTCTTCACAGTGGGACCCAAAACGACATTGACTTCCAGTGCCTCACATGTGTACACATGTGAGGTATTCTAGGCATTGAAGGGTAATCAGTCTTTTAATCATGCAAAACACAAAAGAGAGCCATTTTCAGCTTTGCAACCTTAGTGAGACTATTTTTTTTCTCATGTCAGGAGTGACTTGAGAAACTGCAAGTCACTTCTGGTGTGAGAAAATTGGCTTTCTGCAAGGATGTTCCCCAGGGGACGCCCAGATGTTTTGATGTTCTACCATCCTTGTGGGAGGCTTTTCTCATGTTCCCACATGGGGAGTTGGAGCTGACAGAGGGAGCGCATCCGTGCTCTCCCCAGATTCGAACCTGTGACCTGTCGGTCTTTAGTCCTGCCGGCACAAAGGTTTAACCTACTGCTCCACTGGGGGTTCCTTGTAATATTAGTGAGACTAATATTACATGTAATATTACTAATAATATTGCAGTATAGTGGTATAGTACAACATAGTAATATATCATACTAACATTGTGCTATGCTAATAATATAATATAATATAATATAATATAATATAATATAATATAATAGTATGTTCGTATAACTTGTAAGCTGCTCTGAGTCCCCTTCAGGGTGAGAAGGGCGGGATGCAAATGTCATAAATAAATAAATAAATAAAAGTCTGATTCCAGGTATTTTTCTTAGTTATTCATCATGCAAAGTGGAAAGACCAGGAGATTCAGGGATTCCTTCAGCACTGATCTTTTGCAAGCTTAAGGCTAGGAACCAATGGCGATACAGATTTACATTTTACAATGAACAGTTAAAAGAGGGCTTGGAAGTAAGATGTTAAAAATAATGATGTGATTTGTTTTCTTTTGAATTAATGAGGACAGGACACCTGTCATCCGAGAAATAATATTGTGTGGGATGTGGGCTCCATGTGAATTTTGGGAGCCCCAGATGCCCTCCAACACTCTAAACCATTCTTTGCCAAAGAAAAACTCCTAGGCCTCAAATTAGACCCTTACACGTTGTTTCCATGAACACCTAGAAACCCCTTCTTTTCACTTTAAAAAGCATCCCAAAGTGATGGAACACCACTTTGGCTTTCCCAGAGTGATACTCACAGTAGGGGGCTTTAGCCCTCCAGAGGCACCAAAATGTAATGTAATAATAATAATAATAATAAAGCTAACTTTTAGCCATCCAGGTTTATTCCTGTTGTGCAAAAACTTCTGCAGGTGTACTATGACAAGGACATTATTTGGGATTTATGTGGAAAGAACGGTATTTTTTAAATAATGTTTTTCTAACTTTGGTATACCTTCCAAGAACTTAGAGTGGAATCAATTTGGGCCCATCAGCTGGGATATATGCCTTTTGTTTGCCTCTTGAATACCTATAGATGGTAAGGTGGCTATAAGAATGGGCAGTCAGGGTCATGTTACAGCTTGAAAAATAGCAGAGAAGGCACAGCTTTCTTTTAGCTCTTTCTAGTTTCCATTCCTCACACGAGGAATGTGCAAGGACCCATCAGCTATAATAGCCTTCACATCCTCTCTTTCCTGTGTAGGTAGGATGAATGAGTTGTCCAGTGACTTAGATGATTCTGAGAATATCATGGGTGGAACACAGAAAACAGCATTCCCCATTCCTCTTACTTTTATTTTTGTTGGTGACAGAAGGCAGGACTATTTCAGATATGTTGATGTTAGAAGTACAAAGATTATTTGTCCCTCTGCATACTCGCTGTCAATGACACATGTTACTCTTACAGTTTTTCATCTGAGTTGCAGAATTAAAATGGAACCTGGAAACTCATTATGGCTAGTTTTGTTTTTTTCCGTGTCGGGAGTGACTTGAGAAATTGCAAGTCGCTTCTGGTGTGAGAAAATTGGCTATCTGCAAGGATATTGCTCAGGGGACGCCTGGGTGTTTTTTGATGTTTTACCATCCTTGTGGGAGGCTTCTCTCTTGTCCCCACATGGGGAGCTGGAGCTGACCCCAGATTCGAACCACCGACCTTTCGATCAGCAGTTCTGTCAGCACAAGGGTTTAACCCACTGTGCAAGTGGGGGCTCCAATCTTGCTGGCCAGGCGCAGCTATTATTTTGGCAGGTTGCTTAATACAAACATTTTTATTAGGCTTGTTCTAAAACCACAGAAATATTTTTCTTCTACAAAACTAGTTTACCAGGATTATAATCAAATCATTCATGTTTGTTCACCTCGATTTCATTTTTTTGGTCTATAAAAGTGTCAGAAAGGGATCTTACGTTCTTTTGAAAAACAGATTGCCAAAAAGCTTAAAGAAAAATGTCTTTGAAGTTTTTTTTCTCTATCCATTATATTCTGTATTCATTCTCAAAATGCATAATATTGTCAAGTTCCAAATACATAAATTATTCTGTAACCCTGAATAGATGCATTATATTATGCATTTGTGGTGATATTGACAGAAAAAGGAAGGCAATAGCAGATTAAAGATGATTAAACCGAACCTATAAGTCACCATGTGAAGCAGAGATATGTTGACTGTGTGTCTGGAATAAGTGATAAGGGACTCAACTGCAATAGCTTTATTATGATCTTATTATGAAACCAGCTTGGGAAGGACCACAATCTATTCAGCTAAATATTGAGCAAGGAATGGGATGAAAACACATCTGTCTAAAGTGATGTGGTGGAAATGGTAAGGGATGCACTTATGTTAATTGTAAAGGCAAAAATGAAGATAATTGAGAGAGGCTTTTCATATAAAGTTGATACATGAGAAGCATTTCTGCACTTGGGAAGATATCCACATTTATTTTTGAGAGATAAAAATGTATTTCAGATGTGATGCAGAAGTTTACAAGAGAAAATATAAGGTTCTTCTACCTCCTGTTTCTCTGCACCTTTATAATACAACAGTGTTTCTTTCTAAAGTTGATTACATATTATCTCTAATTTGCAAAAAGAGTCACAGAGGGTTCCAAAAGAAAATGTAAACATGTTCTAGAACATCAATTGTAGGATATTAGAAAAACATAAACATATATTTGGATTTACTGCTTACATGTCATTCCTTCAACAGAGGAGCATGAGGAATCTGTTTACAACTTATATATCTCTGAAGTTCGAAACATCAGACTACGCTTGGAGAATTGCGAAGATCGTTTGATCAGGCAGATTCGAACCCCACTAGAGAGAGACGATCTACATGAAAGTGTGTTTCGAGTATCTGAACAAGAGGTAAATCTTTTTACCTGTACGGATAGTTCTTCAGATCCATATAGTGAAACTGCATATAAAATGTATACAGTATGCCAAGAAAGGAGATTCAACGGTTTTGTTCATCAGTCTCAAGCTGCATCCTTCTTAAATTTATACACACACAAATACCCTAAGGCCCCCTGGTGGCACAGCAGGTTAAACCACTGAGCTGCTGAACTTTCTGACCAAAAGCTTGGCGGGTCGAATCCGGGGAGTGGAGTGAGCTCCCACTGTTATTTATTATTTATTTATTTACAGCATTTATATTATGCCCTTCTCACCCCGCAGGGGACTCAGGGCGGATTACAGTGTACACATATATGGCAAACATTCAATGCCAATTTTGACATACACATATACAGACATAGACAGAGGCTATTTAACTTTTTCTGGCCGCCAGGGAGCTGTCGCTTTCATCGTCCATCTGCGACACTGATGAAGTACTTCCGCATTCCCCGCATGCTTTTGCTGGAGTGCTTGCTGGAGTCTTTTTTATGGCCTCATAAATTAGTTAATTTAGCCTCCCCACACAAGGTGGTACCTAATTTTCCTACTTGACAGATGCAACTGTCTTTCGGGTTGCAAAGGTCGACAGCAGGCTACACAATTGGTTGGAAGCCCACTCCAACCCGGGCTGGCTTCAAACTCATGACCTTTTGGTCAGAGTGATCTTAATGCAGCTGACATTCAGCCAGCTGCACCACAATCCTGGTGTTAGCCCCAGCTTCCTCCAACCTAGCAGTTTGGAAACATGCAAGTGTGAGTAGATCAATAAGTCATGTCAGCCACATGACCTTAGAGACATTTACAGGATTTAATTTTAAATATTGTGGGGAAATAGTATTAAATTAAATGTTAAATGCTTTCTGAGCACACAATTGAAAGGGAGACCAAGGGGACGGAGAACCAGTCAAACAATTGCACAAAACATGAAGGTGGTACTCTGTTGACCTCCAGTTCTTACATCAACATAACTATTGGCAGGGCGTCATCTAAATACTATTTATAAGATCTGAACATATTTACATTTTTCCCTGTTCAAGTTCATTCAATCCTTCCAGAGAATCTCAGAAAAAGTTTGTATCTCCTATGGCGATTGTTCATGTAAATGAGGGGCTTCAGTGCAATATTTGACTTCAGTTATACTTGCAACACAATTTTTGTTCCTGGGTTAAAAATTCCATTTCCTAATTGGTTCTATCATAAAAACATGGAAAAGGCTTGTTAAACTACAAAAACTTTGTTTTTGCGGGACATCCTGCAGCACATTTTTCTATAGTTTTTCAGTGAATATCTCATAGAGTCTCAACCAATTCGACCTAGTTTGTGGCAGCCACAAAAATGAAGTTTCTGGATTATAACAACTACTTTTGAAGTAAGGACCACACAGTTAAACAGGAAATAGCACTTTCAAACCAGGAACAGATTTTTTTCCTGTATTTTTTACATCGTGTTATAGGAAGTTTATTGGGACAGTTTGAGAACTCTGCTGCCGATGTAGCCTCTCATATTTTGTTTTGCAGAAGCTAAAGAAGGAGCTAGAACGACTCAAAGAGGATTTGGAAACCATCACAGACAAATGCGATGATTTTTTTAATCAAGCCGCTGGTTCACCCTCCGTCCCGACTCTGAGGTCGGAGCTTAACCTAGTGATTCAAAATATGAATCAAGTTTACTCCATGTCTTCCATTTACATAGAAAAGTAAGTATACCATCCAGCCCCTCCAACCTTATTGCACTTCATTGCTATTGATGTAATGTCAAAGGCTTTCATTGCCAGAATCACTGAGTTGTTGTGAGCTTTCTAGGTTGTACGGCCATGTTCCAGAAGCATTTTCTCCTGATGTTTCGCCTCCATCTATGGCAGGCATCCTCAGAGGTTGTGAGGTCACCTCTGAGGATGCCTGCCATAGATGCAGGCGAAAGGTCAGGAGAGAATACTTCTTGAACATGGCTGTAGAGCCCAGAAAGCTCACAACAACTCATTGCCATTATTTTGTGGTGAGATTTGATACAGTGCGGGAAGTTAATTAGTGTATAAGAAGGAGAACGAAGAGATTCTACATTATTTGAAAAATATCTTGTGTTAAATAAGATTACAGATGCCAGTCTTAAAGGTGTTTTAAAAATATTGAATAGAAAAATGAGTTACATTTTTTTAAAAAATTACAAATACAAGCATGATCCTATTTAAATAGTCATCAAATGCTGAATTGCATGTGTTTGGAACTGAATGTGTTTGGAAAGGTGTTTACAATATGTTCCTTTGTTTCAGGTTAAAAACTGTAAATTTGGTTCTCAAAAACACCCAAGGAGCTGAAGCCTTAGTGAAATTGTATGAGACTAAACTGTGTGAAGAGGATCCATTAACGGCTGACAAGAGTAATATAGAGAGCCTGAGGGCTACTTTAAAGGTAGGATGATGGTGTCCCAAACGGGGTAAACGAATCTGTATTTGTTAGCAATATAGAATCATATATAGAGACTTTGTGAGCCATCCAGTCCAACCCTCTGCCAAGAAGCAGGAAAATCACATTTAAAGCACCCCCAACAGATGGCCATCCAGCCTCTGCTTAAAAGCCTCCAAAGAAGGAGCCTCCACCACATAAGGTCAAGCATGAGGTTCTAATAAAGTATCCGCTTCCATCCCCTCCTTTGTGCAGCCTCTTTGCAACCCCCAAATCTGCTCCAGAAGTCATGATAGAGAGAGTGTCCAAGTAGAACAGACGTTTGTAGAAGAGGAGAGGAAAAAAAAAGTTCAATCACATTAGCAGACTCAGGCCACTGTATTTGATTTGCCTTTTTGTGGAGAAGGGAGGAAAAGAGTATTAGTGTGGTCAGGGAAAATAATAATAGTTAAGTTTGCCAACTAACTGTATAAATAGTTCCACTTCAATCCACTGTGGGTTTTTTTTCATAACTACACAATAAGAGTTTACTGAGGGCTAAGTTACATATTACATTGATCATATGGAAGGAAATCTATCTCTGCTAGTTAAATTCCTTAAGGTTCTCTTTTGTCTGCTGTCTTACTAAGTAAAAAAAAGGTTTAGGTCACTTCCCTTCTCTTTTATTTTCAAGGATCACAGAATCCCAGCCAAGTTGTGTTGCCAGGAAAGGAGACATTCTTGGCAAAACGTTTTACCATCCTGTGGGAGGCTCCTTTCATGTCCCCACATGGGAAGCTGGAGCTGACAGACAGGAGCTCACCCCATCTCACAGATTCGAGCTGCTGACCTTCAGGTCAGCAGTTCAGCCAGCACAAGGGTTTAACCCATTGCATCACTGCGGCTCTTTGGTAATATTTAGTAATATATAGCCAGTGTAGACTCATATAATGGCATAGTCCTGTTGAACTGCAGGTCTTATCTGCTATCATCAGCTTAGCTATTGACTGTGGAGAGAGTGATACTGTTGGCTCTGCAGAAATTCTCAGCACTTTTCAATAGCATTGACTATGGTATCCTTCTGGGCTGCCTTTCTGGGATGGGATTTGGGGCATTGTTCCTCGTTTGTTCTGGTTCTTCTTGAAGGGCTGAACTTGGAAAGTGCTTCTGGGGGACTCCTATTATGGGGGTCCTTAGGGTTCCCTTTTTGTTGCCCATGGTGTTTAACATTTACATGAAACTACTTGGAAAGGTAATCTGGAGCTTTTGGATTCAAGGCCGCCGGGTATGTTCATAACACCCATTGAGACCTGTACTTTTTATTTTTAAACCTTTGTATATCTTTTACACGGTTTTTCCTGTTTAATGTGGGAAATTTAAACTGTTTTAAACTGAGATGCCTTGGGTCCTATTCTGGGAAAATGAAAGAAAGACACAAACTGGAGGTGGTGGGCCTTGCTACCATACGTTGCTGGAGGGTTTTGGGCTGGGCACACGTTAAATTGAAGAAACACAATATTATGTCTGAGATGCCATACATTTTAATTCTTAGCAATGGAGATCAGAGGTTGATGAAAAAAGAGAAGTGTTCCATGCTCTAGAAGATGAGCTCCAGAAGGCCAAAGCAATTAGTGATCAGATGTTTAAAACTCACAAGGAACGTGATCTTGACTTGGACTGGCACAAAGAGAAAGCAGATCAGTTGACTGAGAGGTGGCAAAATGTTCATTCTCAGATTGAAAACAGGTCAGTACGACTCTCTCTATCTAAACAACATAATGAAACATTTCATGGGCATGGAAAAGAAGGATCTTAGAACCTATCCCAAGCAGATACAGGGGCCATACTGGACAATGTACAATTTGCATGAAAAGAGTGATTCAGAAGGGATATTAGCAGATGTAAGGGTGGTATACTGTGTTTCCCTTTGACTTTATCCAATAGTTTTCCTGCAATATACTGCAGGAAATATATTACTAGGAAATATATTACTAGCAGTTTTTCCCAATTTGAGCCTTTGGCAAAAAGAAAGCACAAAATGTTTTGCAGAAAATAATGTCTTTGTGGTGGAGGCATGAACTGTAAAACATCATAAGATGGAAAACTATAAATCTCATTTAAAAATCTATGCACATATGTCACAATGAAATAAGCAAAGATTTTACATTCCTCCTACAGTCCTTTTCTTATTATTTATGGCGAAATGCAACTCTTCCCTTTGCTCGGAAGACAAACATAATTGTCTTTGCTGGCAGTGGATGATCAACACTCAGATGCTTTAGTGTTAAAAGCAACAGATTTTGTGTTGACTGCAGCTTGTAAGTGAAAACAGACTGTTCTCTGCCAATGTCTGTTAATGACATCAGTAGACAATAACAACATTTAGCTAGCTACAAAAAGCCTAAATCACAACTCTATAAATCTAGTCACTGGACCTTTTTGTCAACAATTAGTTATTATATTTTTCTTGAAAGATGCAGTGCAAAGAGGTTGATTTAATACAGAAACAAATGGCAGATAAAGGTTTAGCTTTGTATCTGAGTATGTGAATAAGATATGTGAGTATGTGATAACAGATAAATATCTGTTAATATAGATAACAGATAAATATATATCTGTGTACAAAAATGTGTACACATTTGTGAGAAATTTCCCAAAAAATTGAGCACATGTCTTAAAATAAGTATTCCCCTGTTGCCATTGCCTTATCTAAAAATTGATTTGCAGTTAAATAAGTTTGGAGAATTGGATGTAAAAATTATTTCTGAGAGGTGGCAGCCCTCTGGTGGACACATCAAGCAGTGTCTGTTGTCTAAAAAACACTGGATCTTTAGACTTATAAGCTAAAGTATCATAGCTGAGATGATGATGATGATGATTATTATTATTAGCAGCAGCAGCAGTAGTAATATACTCTGCTTTCCCTCTGCCAAAGAAGACTTATAGCAGCGAACATTAAAAGACTTTTTTCATGACAGGAGTGACTTGACAAACTGCAAGTTGCATCTGGTGTGAGAGAATTGGCCGTCTGCAAGGATGTTGCCCAGGGGATGCCCGGATGTTTTACCATCCTGTGGGAGGCTTCCCTCATGTCCCTGCATGAGAAGCTGGAGCTGACAGATGGGAGCTCACCCCTCTCCCCGGATCTGAACTGCTGACCCAAAGAATTTAACCCATTGCGCCACCGGAGGCTCCTAAAAGCCATGACAACGTGTGAATTAAAACAAATATACATTAAAATAGAATTAAACATAGAAATATTAAAAATACGGTTAAAGCCAATATAACCATTTAACAAATATACTAAACTACTGTACATAAAATGCAGCACCCTCTGGATTGATCTTAAAGAGTACAGTTGCAAATCTATGCTAATTTCATTCTGAAATGAGGGAATGAATCATTTCAAATGTTTCTCCCCACAAGATGAGCTCAAAAGCATTTAAAAGCTTTTCCAGATTTTGGGGGCATTTAAAAGAAAATTTCATGAAGGTTTTGTGTGCTAAATTGGTGTTTTTGTCTATAATATTAAAAAGGACTTGAACTGCCCACCAAAATAGGACTGCCCACCATTTTTTGTCATGAACTTCCGGGTTGGTTTTAGGGGGACCATTCTCAGCCTCAGTCTCTTCCGTTCATGCTTTACACTATTAGAAATAATAGCATCAATTTCTTTTTCAGAATTGGTGGGAGAATAGCACGGATAAAGCATATGGGAATGTTGAAAATGCTGTGCAAATATCTTGGTTGTTGTTATCTGCCTTCAGGTTGACTCAACCTCATGGTGACCATACTCTACGTTTTTTCATAGAGGGATTGCCTTCCTCTAAGGCAGTGGTTCTCAACCTGTGGGTCCCCAGGTGTTTTGGCCTACAACTCCCAGAAATCCCAGCCAGTTTACCAACTGTTAGGATTACTGGGAGTTGAAGGTCAAAACATCTGGGGACCTATAGGTGGTGAACCACTGCTCTAAGGCCCTTTCTACACTGCCTATATCCCATGTTTTGATCCCAGATTATTGGCTTATCCCAGATTATATGGGAGAGGAGATTCATATAATCCAGTTCAAAGCAGATAATATGGGATCAGATTTTGGGATATAGAGCAGTGTAGATCAAGCCTAAGTCTGAGAGAGTAGGACTTGCCCAAGGTCACCCAGTGGATTTTCATGGCTGAACAGAGATTTAAACCCCGATTTCCTTGATTTCTACTTTAATACTCAGATAGATACACCACACTGGTTATTGTGCATATATATACTGTTCTATTTTCTTTAGCTGAATATTACTGCTTGATTGTTTTTGTCACTGGAACTGTTTACTCTCCAAATCACCCAGGTTGCATGACTTAGAGGGGATCAGTAAGTCACTGAAGTACTACAGGGATACTTACGGTGCACTCGATAATTGGATTAAGCAAGTTGAAGAAACTCAGCAAAAGTTTCAGGAAAACCCTCCTCAGAACAGCAGAGCCCTGGCTAAGCAGCTAAACCAGCAGAAGGTACAAGATGGAGATCCTGTTCTAGGACATAGTTTAATTAATGCTCATCTACTTCCATGGATTTGGGTAGGGATGGGGGCACAGCAGCCTTTTAGAGCAGGGCTTCTTATACCTTTTCCATTTTTAATGACCCCTTTCAGTCTGAGAAATTGTTACATGACTCCAAGTATATAGGTATATAAAATATTTACTGATAACAAAGCAGCATTTTTTTAGGCTTGCTAAATAGACTGATTTTCATTTTTATAAAGAATAGCGTAAGCATTTTCTTCAGAGTCTAGTGCAAAAACTGCTCGTTGTTGCTAACAGATTTCTGTAAATGTCTATGTGGTGTTCAGAAACCTTTTCCTGTTGCCAGTTTTTTCATGACCCCAACATTGGGGGTGCAGTTATCCATTGCATTGCAACTGGGGGTCTATTTGGGAACCCATTCATCTAATTTTCTACACTCCAGCTTAGTTTAGTGGAAAAAAATAACTGAAATTTTTTTTATCATGTCAAAAGCGACTTGAGAACATACTGCAAGTTGCTTCTGGTGCGAGAGAATTGGCTGTCTACAAATACATTGCCTAGGGGATGCCCATCCTGTGGGAGGCTTCTCTCATGTCCCCGCATGGGAAACTGAGGTTGACAGACAGGTGCTCACCCCATCTTGCGGATTCAAACCATTGACCTTCAGGTCAGCGCTTCAGCCAGTAAAAGGGTTTAACCCATTCTGCCACTGTGGCTCTAATAACTCAGATAATCATAAATGACTTCATTTCAATTAGTAAATGTTCCATGGAAATGTCTGAATACATTTCTGAGACAGATCTATGCTGTTAATAAATCTCTTACCATGTCTTCATTAATACAGTTGTTAGGCTGCAAGTCCCAGCACCCTTGTCAGCATAGTCAATAGTGAGGAATGATGGGAGTTCCCATCCAACAGTTTTTCAAAGTTCATGTTTCCCACTCTTGTATTTATAGGGCCCCTGATTTCTTTTCCTTACCGAGATAAAGAATACTTCATAAGGAGAATGTCTGCCTATAAAATGGGCAAAAATGCTGTATCGTTATTGTGATATATTAAAATATTTGTTTCTTTACAGATGCTAATAGCTGACATAGAGATGAAACAGAACAAATTAGATGAATGTCAGAAGTACTCAGAGCAGTATTCTACTACTGTAAAGGTAAAGCTCTGTCTGTGCTGATTCACTGTGCAAATGTGAGCTCTGTTTAGGGCAGTAGTTCCCAACCTTTTTTTTTTTTTTGACCAGGGACCACTTGAACAGGGACCACTTTGACCAGGGATTACTCTCCAGCATTAGTCCTAAAAGGGTTACTATTCCGTTTTTGATCAACTTTAGATTTGGTTTAGTTATTTAGAGTGCTGATTCGGAAAATTGCACTGGATAAATTACATCAGCTTTAGTTTCTGATACAGAACATATGCCATCCAGTAGCTTCCATCTGCTCGCCCACAGAAAATCATATTTAATAATCTAGAGCTGATGTGGTAACAGTAATTTTTCGTGGGTAGTCAGCTTCTCCCCTCCTGACATGTCCGTTACCTCAGCACTATAAGAGAGTTTTGCGAGAGCAGTCACTCTTGTTGCCTCATAGTTTTGAGGCAACGGTGTAGTAATAATGGTGAGGCCATGGACCATATTTCCGTTCTTACGGACCACTGGTGGTCCACAGACCACAGGTTGGGAACCACTGGTTCAGGGAATGGCAGCATTCATTTTGTTATTCTTGAAACAGCGATCTGTATGTAGAAACAAGAAATGTTTGTGTGATATTTGAAGATCACTGTGGTCTATGACATAATCTTTGTCTATAGCGACTTCCATTACTCTGTACAAATGGATTTCAGGGGACGTTTTTGATACGGCTTCTAAGCACACAATCCCTCTACTCTTCCAAGTTAAAATTCTACATGTTGCTAAAACAGCATGCCATAACTCATTTGTTCTCCAATAATGTAAGCCAAATAGATGTCACAAGTAAGCTAAACTACACTAATGTTATAGCTCTAAAGATTATACCATAAAACAAATAGTTTACAGCTTTTGTATTGTATTTGTCTTCTACAGGACTATGAATTACAAACAATGACATACAGAGCCATGGTTGACTCTCAGCAAAAATCTCCTGTGAAACGCCGAAGAATGCAGAGCTCCTCCGATTTTATTATTCAGGAGGTAGTTTTGTTTATTTGCAGGTCGGCTTTTGGGGATCAATTCCTCACAAGACAGCTTACATAACAAAACATCAAAAATTTAGGTTAAATGTAAAAATCCAAATCAATCAATCATTTCCTTAATACCCACACCCAAGTGATTATTATAAAGAATAATATTAATAATAACAGCAACAATAATATAGTTGTGTCAGAATGTGGTACTCCTAACAACAATGGTAGCATTTATCAACTGTGGGGTTCATGAATTAGTTGATCATTGCCTAAAGTAGAAATGCAATTATATTATTGTTTAATGGGAATAGACTAATAAGAAATAGTACCCACCAGACAGAGAGTGGGAAGAGTGTAAGTTTTCTTTATATATAATTATGTAGTTGTAGTTTAGTTTTAGTGTATAGCATGCAGTTGTGTAGTTTTCATAGTTTTATATATCTAAAGCACTTATTTATGTGTTTGGTTTTGTATTTTTCTTGAATAAAAATTATTTTAAAATGTGATAGTTCAGCAGAAGAACAGATAAGCTAGATTTAACATGTGACAGAATAAAGGCTGAAAAGAAGCATTATGGCAACGCTTGCCAAACTAGTTAATAATAGCTACTTTCCCTTTAATGAACTTGGCCTTCATTAGCTGCTCCCTGACACTGGGAGAACTGCAATCAAAACACCAGAATCAGACATTTTTGCTTCCTTTCCCCACACCATAATACCTTCTATGCTATGACTATAGCTTAGAATAAAACTTTTATTAGTTCAATTTCAATTTTTTTTCCTTTGAAAGTTTTAAAGTAATTTTATGACAAGTTTAGGGTAAATGTGAACAAATACAATAGTAACTGTCTATGTTTCTTATCTTGTGGGATCAGTCAAGATACCTCTGGTACACAGTACATCTAAAAACATTTCTAACTTCCTAACATTGGTTTTTAGAAATGGCTAAAGCTGCTTTGTTTTATGTGGCAATTGAGTACAATTTCAACAGCCGTGATTAATTGATCCTTCCTCTTTTATTCCTGAGAAACATCTCTATACATTCTTTTCCCAGAGCAAAGAAATGTCAACTCTCTTAGCTAACACCCTATTTGTTACATTGAATATTTGAAAGATCTGTTTTCCTTAGGTGCATACTTATATTGTGATTCATATATTATTACTCACAAAAACACACAAATGCATTGTTGAAGTCTGGGCCTGGCTCTCCTGCATCCGCTCCTACCTCCCAGAAAGCATTGTGCATTACTCTTTTTTATTATTTATTTATTCATTTATTTCAAACATTTGTACCCCACCCTTCTCAACCCCCGAGGAGGGACTTTATGTATATACACACACACTTTTAATATATTTTTAATACACACACACACATATATATCCACACTGCATTTTAATTCTGCCTGATTAGTACCATTCCTTGTGTTTTATTTCAGTTTATGGATTTACGAACACGCTATACAGCTTTGATGACCTTGATGACTCAGTATATAAAATTTGCAGGTGACTCTCTGAAAAGGCTGGAGGAGGAAGAGGTATGTCAAATCAATAACACAATAAGTTAGAAAGTTAAAGTACATGATGGATGTTGTGTAAATGGTTCGAGTTACATATGATTCTAATAGGGGTCATGTATTGTTTATGAGCACATTAGCAAAGCTGGCATGAAAACTCCTCTACTTCACAGATTGCCTTATTGGTTGTACAGCTCTATTGCTAACATTGTCTTTCAAGATCCTGAATCTTTATGAGCTTCTCTAAGGTGCAGAAAATCTGTAAAGGTCCATTAAAATTGGTCTCATTCCTCACTTCTACTGTAACTTCAAAGTTACAGAAGGAATTTATTGGTGTGGTTTTTATAATAAGCTTTCATTGCTTTCAAGAATTTCTAATTTCCTTCTCCATATTTCTTTCTAATCTTGCAGTTTGTTAATGGAGTTAGATCTCTGCTGTTTTAATTTGAGAATTCAGTGAGTCACCTTTACGATCAAACTCTATCATATAATTTGGGCGGGTGGGCAACTTCATCTAAGGTGGAAACTAAGGCATCATGTAATACAGTTTTGGGGGTGGGGGGGGGGGTGGGATTAGAACAACGGCCTCAGCAGAAAGGCAGATGAATGCTTCTAACCAAAAGGTTGTTTAGTTTCTAAGTGAAAAATAATAGAAATTCAGTTTATACAAAGTCAAAAAAGTATATGTATGGATTAAAATAAAACTGTGGATTCAGAATTGTTACATTCAAATAATAGTGATATAATTCCATCTAGTTAACACAAAATAAGAGGGGGATAATTAATTGACTATGAAACATGAAAATTTTACCAATGGGTTTGACACAGAATAGTCTCTTTGATTTACTCATATTGTTCATTCGTGTTCACACAGAAAATGTAGAGAATGAAATATATCTTTGTTACAAAAAAGGATTTTTTTACTAATTGTGTCAAGCCTGTTAAAAGTGTCAATGGAAAAGATGAAGACAGTTTGTTGTTTAATTCGTGTTTCGTTTGTTTCATTTGAATTGCACAAAACAGTACACCCTCTCTGGTACGAAAATATCAGTGAAACAAAAGGAAAATAGGAATGGTAACTTTGGTCACCTGATTTTCGGTGCTCGGCTACAGGCCCTGGCAGGTGCTGGTGCTTCAGGCCTGCATGCCACAGACACACACACACTTTCCAATCACTGAGTCAAAGATGTTCGGCCCTTGGCTGCAGGCCCTGGCGTGTTTGGCGTGCAGGTCCAGAAAGCACCCATGCATGCCAGTGCTTTAAACTGAGGGGAAAGAGAGCGTGAGAAGCCTGCCCATTGCCACCAATGGGACGAAAATATTAAGTTTTTTTAGACCTGGGATGAAAAAGCTCATTTCTAAAGGCACCCATTTTGGGGAGAGGCGCTCAAAAACGAAAATGGGTGTTACAAATGAAATAAAAATGGACAATGATTCTATACATATGCATAAGACTAATAGTAATACCTACTGTAGATGTACATTTATATCAGTACTGTTGGTAGAAGAATGAACTCTCTTGAGAAAGGTAGCAATCAACAACTCGGGATTCAGACAAAGGAAAGAAAAAGACAGGCAAGTGTAACTAAACACATAAAAAAACTTTTTGTTGCCAATATTGATTCCACTTTTGGATAGTAATTTACTACAGGGTTAGTTAAATTTATTTGTTTTTGATTATAAACAACATTGTAATGTTGAGTGTTAAAGTGTTGTTGTACTTTAAAACTAGTTCAATAAATATTTTATTTAAAGTTTACAACACAAATACTTCAGAGCTACTCAAAGAAAGTAATGGTCTTAGATTGAGAAAGGATTTAAAGAAGACAAAATAGGGAAGCACGGGAAGTAATGAACGACTCTTGGAAGTAAGGATGAACAAGAAAAGGCAGGCCAAGAGGAAGAGAGAACAGAAAGAAAGAGGTATACAAGTTACATTCAAAATCAGATCAAATCAATATTATACAAATAAATATTATTACAGAATTACTTCTAATCATGACTAAAAGCAATTAATGTATCTTATGGGAGAGGGGAATTGATTTGTCTGAATTTTCATTCATCTTTCTATGGGTTGAATTCAGAATTAGTTGTACTTGAAGGAGATCAGCTAAACTGAATTGGTTTTGAGTAGTTATAGCTAAACCATATTGCATTAATTTCTGTTGATGTACTTTCAAGGTAACTAAGTCTTAATCCCATCCACGATGTTATCTCTGATCTATGCTGCCCATCAGGATGAATGAAGTACAAGTAGAATTCTCACTCTGAAATTTTAATATTTTTCCAAGAATCTCGTCCCAAATTTGATTGATTGAAACACACACATTTCACCTTTTTTTGTGGGATTTCAAGAAGGTTTGCTGATACACAGTTATACTAATTATGTCACAAAGACTTCAATTAAATCTATGTTGGAAAGAAATTAACACTGGTGTCAATCAAAACTCCCAATTAGGAGGCAGTCCACCACTGGGGTCCTACATGTTGTATTAACATCTTGAGAGATTGGTTCAACCATGGCATCACATGGGTGTTTCTATTAGAATTAGTTTGAAAAACACAACAAAAAAGCAATAGCATTGTTGTAGATTAGGGAATTACAACAAAATGTAGGTTTTTTTTAAAAAAAAAACCTACTGCCTTTCATTTTAGAAGGATCTAAGTCTTACTTTTGTTCTATGTTAAAAAAAGAGTCAGAATGAGACCTTATTACAATAGTATGAAAAGTTATTATTCTTGAAGGACATGAGTAATCTTTTGTTGTATAAAGGCAATATATCCATGTCACTCTTTTCTCAACTCACCATAAATATTGGAAGTGCTCTATTCTTGCATTGTATCTTTTACTGAGAACTTCTCCTGTAACTGTGAAGCAAGGTCACATGCAAGCAAGCTTCTAGGCATTGTCTTCAAACATGAAACAGCTGTTGTTTGGTGAACTGAGGGGTTCTTCTGTAGGACTTCATTTGGTGAATGCCTTTGTGCAGCTTTCTCTTTGCTCTAACTAGTGGTGGCTTTCTGAAGGTGACGGTTGTGGTGGTGGGAAGCACATGATCTGTGCTGCTGAGATGCTGTAGCTTCAGTTTGTAAGTATCTGCACCCATGCATTAACATTGCAATCTATTTCTAATTTCTTATTTACCTTTATTTAAAAAAGAATATATTGTAAAGCTTTTTATGTCTTATTTTTCCTCCCCAGAACCTAAAGAATAAGGAGGCACTTGTCCGGGTGGAATATTCTGATCTAGAACAGCAACAAAAAGCAGTAGTGAATGAAAATCGGAAACTGATGGAAAGGATAAATGAACTTGAAGAGATGTTAGCAGAACTGAGGAGACAGAAGTTCCAGCTGGAAGAAAAACTCCCAAAAGCAAAGGAAGAGGCAGAAAAAGAAATGAAGAAACTGCAAAAGAAAATAGAGGAGATTTCTCTTCAGAAAAGCAAGGCTGAACAAGAGACAAAACGATACCGCATAGAACTGGATGATGTTGTTCAGCAGAAGGAAGCTGCAGAGGAGGAATTGGAACGTGTGAAACAGCTCACCTTGAAAGCTGAGGCTCAAAGAAGTATTGTTGAAGAAAACCTCAGAGCTTTCAGGATTCAGCTAGAGGACAGTGACAGGGTTAGAAAGACCTTTGAAGACCACTTAAGAAAGAAAGACACCAATCTCCAAGACTTGGAGCAGCAAAAGAAAGCATTAATGGAAGAGCTGAAGAAGAAAACTGCAGAAGAGGAAAAGCTTATGAAACTAATTAAGGAAATGGAACGGGACCTTGAGTTGCAAGGTAGCCTAGGGAAGAGCAAGTTCAGAGAAAAGGAAATAACAGAAGTTAGAAGGCAAATTACTTTAATAGGAAGAGAAACCTTATTAACAGGCTCAGACATTTTCAGAGAAAAGCAAGAAATAAAGACTATAGATGAATACCAGCAGCTGGTTGATGAGCTAATGTCTGCCAACAAAAAGTCTGAAAAAATAATTAAAGATTTAAAATATGAGCTGAATGAACTTGAACTACAAAATGCATCCTCTGAAGAAAAGGCTCGCTTACTTAAAGAAAAACTAGATGAGGCCAATAATTCTCTCCGGTATCTTAAGATAGAGATGGATCAGAAAGAACTGGCAGAGCAAAGATACTTGGAGCAGCTGAAAGAACTTGATAGGCAATTGCAGAAGACCACATGCAAAGCTGAAGAGGTCATGCAAGAGGTCATGGATCTCAAAAAAATAAACATGAAATATCAGGAAGAACTGAAGTCACTTCAGAAAGAAAAGGCACAGTTAAAGAGGGAGCTGGAAGAGCTGGCTAGAGCACACACACACAATGAGATTACTATTCAACAATTAAATGTGCAAATCAGTTCTCTCCAGCAAGAAAAAATGGTTGCTGAGCAGAGAACTATTTCGCTTAAAGGGGAAGCAAGCAACCTGCAAGAACAATTTAGAAAGATGCAAGAACAATTGCTTCAAAAGACAAGAGAAGAAAAAGAAAGCCAGTTCAATATCCAAAGGTTGAAAGATGATTTAGCTGATAGTAAGCACATGGTAGAAAAATTAAAGCAAAAGGTTGAAGAGCTTACCAGATTGAATAGTGACACCAAAATAATGATGACTGAAGTGCGGACCGAGTCAGAGAAGGTAATTGTCGAGAGACAAATTATTGACAGGAAAAACGATGAATTAAAAGCTTTGATTGAGAGCTTCAAAGAGCAGCTACGTGTCACAAATGAAGAACTGCACAAACAGATAATAATTGAACAAGAGCACTTGGACAAAATCAAGAGACTGGAAGATGAGTTAATAAAGGCAAAAGATTTGGCCAATGACTTTAAACAGAAATGTGATAGGGAGAATGCTTATAACATGAATGCTGAGATGGAAGTAAGGAACTTAAGTAGCCAGCTGAATACATTTACCATGGAAATAAAGATGTGTGAGCAGAAAATTCAACAGCAGCAGGCCTATATTCAGGAACTGAATAGCAAGATGAAGAAACAGCAAGATGATTTCCACCAGAAGA